CGAGGCTAACAATTTAGATACTATATGAGCTAGACTGATTCTCCTGTGATTGTCGCAAGAAGATTTTGTCCTTTCTTATGAATTGGGACAATCAGTGATTGAGACCATTCAGATGGGATTAGATCCAATTCCCAAATTCTATCTTAAATCTAGCCAACTTAGCTGCTAAAAATGGTCTACCATCCTTAAAAATCTCAGGGGTTTACCTATAAGAGCCTGCTGCTCTCCCTCGCATCCATTCCTCATCTCCTCTCAAATTCCCAATGATCACTTCTTTCCTCTTTCTAAATTTTTCACCAGATTATACTTCTTGAATAATTTCTTCGAACCCTAATCTCCATGGACACTAATAATTCTACTAACTCTACTACAATTGGCACCTCGATCTCTGTGCTAATGTGGTATGGCAACTTAAACTGAAGTACGTTCGTATGAACTTCTACGTTGTAGCTGACTGATTGTCTGAAGGCGAGGTGTGTCATTCTTAGAATCAACCTTTTCTAACCCGTTCCTTCTCTTGTGAGAAAGAAGCTTCACTGCAGATGCTGGTAGTCCGAGGGAAACAGTTTACTGCTGTCACACCCTTTTAGTGTCTCTTGTACGGCTTCGCCCTCAGACCTTACGTTGCTGCTTTTAGTTGTACAATTCTTCCTGGTATGGTAGGTTTTAGAGGAACTTATCCAGCCAATATATCTCGACTGAGTCACCACGATAGGCGAGCCTGACCATCACGTCAATGTATCGGTTATGGTCCGGAGAGTAATGTGGTGTTATGGATATGTCACTATTATCATCCCAACAACCTCCATATCGCGCATTGTTTACCGACATTATGGATGAGTTGGGTAAAAAAAAGGTGGTTATTATATGGCGTCACTGTGTATAAACAATCCATATAGGACATCTGTCGTCCAACCATGATTTCATGGTCAGTTCAACTCACTGGCTTAGGACTTTATCGGACATGACCCGACCGAAGCTGCTACCTTGACGTGGTGGTCGGGCTTGCCTATCGTGATGACCCAACCGAGCTATACTGGCTGGAACATATGTTCCTGCAGGTCCTACCATGCCAGGCTGGTCGATTGGAGAACGATGAGACTAAAAGCAGCTACCCAGGGTCTGAGGGCGAAGTCGTACTGCTGACTGCAGAGGGGTGTGACAGCAGTAAGGTGTTTTCCTCGGACAACCAGCATCTGCAGCGATGCTGCCTTCTTACAAGGAAGGAAGGGTTAGAAAAGGTCGGCCCTAAAAATGTCACACCTCCCCTAACTCACGGATTTCCGTCTCCTTGGGTAAGGGTGCCCACTAAGGGCCTTTAAGAACGGAGCTAATCCTCTAAATACCTTTCATAAAAAGGCCGTGCATGACCGGCCTCAAGCAGTTGTCCCTTGGGCTCTGCGGTCACACACCAACACTAATCTATCTTCCTTTTCAGGTCCCTCAAGAAACAACCTTCCACGGTGTGGGCAGCCGGGAAGTCACAACCGCCCTCATTCCCGTAACAACACGCGAGACCGAATTGGTCAAAATCAAATCCTTCCTACACCCCCTAATGTCTCTCTTATCTCCACGACTAACTCTACTCACACTCCCTTTTCTCACTGCACCGCTAGTGCAGACGACGCGAGATCACGAAACGTCGTTCGTGGTCTCTTGAAACCCCGTTCTAGACTACATGTTGGAGCTTTTAATATACGGACATTGTGTCAAATAGGGTAACAGGCATCACTAGCTAGGACTTTAAAAACTCGTGCCATCGATGTGTGCTGCGTCTCGGAAACGCGCATACAGGATCCTAGTAAAGTCACTAACCTGATTCCACCTTGTCAAAACGAAGAAGCAGCCCGATTCACTCTTCGTGTATCCGGCAGCCCTGATGCTGCTTCCAGGGGTCTTGCTGGCGTAGGCATAGCGTTGAGTTCTAGGGCAGAATTATCTCTCCTAGACTGGATCCCAGTAGATAGTCGTTTGTGCGCTGTCCGACTAAACGGGACAGTAAGGACTCGTAAGGATAGGGACACTCGCCGTTGCCTCTTCGTCATATCTGCCTATGCCCCCACTGACTGCAGTGCAGACGAGCTGAAAGATGAGTTTTACAGAAAGCTTTCGGACCTCCGCCAAAAAGCTAGGCGCTCTGATATAGTAATAATGGCTGGTGATTTCAATGCTCAAGTAGGTAGACTAGGTGAAAAGGAAAGACATCTAGGTGGATGTTATGGTGTAGCGACTGATAGAACAGACAATGGCGACCGTCTGTTGCAACTATGCTCAGATAACCGCCTATTCTTAGCGAACACTAACTTTAGGCATAAGGAAAAGCATCTGTTGACCTGGCGACCCCCGAAGTCGTCTCAACGTTGTACGCAACTAGATCACATCGCCATCAGCCACCGATGGAGGGGTTCGATAGAAGACTGTCGCTCGTTCTGGGGCACATGTTTGGATTCAGATCATGCTCTAGTGCGAGCTCGTATCTGTTTGAGGCTTACTGGACATAAGAAAGACACCGTAAGGAAGCCTCTTAGGGTTTTACTTAATGATAATCAAACCAAGAAAATATTTCAGGAGCAACTAGAAAGAGAGTTAAGCAACGATGTAAGTGATTCCCATCCAGAAGCAGGTTGGTATGATATCATAAAAGGCTGTGGAAACAGCAGTGATATCTGCTAGGAAGGTAAACCATAAGGCTAGGATGAAGCCGTGGATATCAGTCGAATCCACCGAACTGATGGATGCTCGAAAACCCATCCCACCTGACTCTGAGCATGATGAAGAGCGTAGTCAGCTTAGGCGCAGACTTATAAAAAGTCTGCGTAACGACCGCGAACAGTGGTGGGTGGCGAAAGCAAAAGCGATGGAAAAGGCAGCGGCGATCGGCAACAGTAGACAACTTTTCCGACTTATTAAAGAAACTGGTATTAGGAACCCGAATGTAAGTGAGACTATCTCGGAAAAGGATGGGATTATTATCCATTCTCAATCCAGGAGACTGGATCGATGGGCAGAACACTTTAGGGATCAGTTCAACTGGCCTCGAGCCACTCTTCAGTTACCCACGATCTCCAGTCATCCTGAATGGAAAATCGACGTAAGTCCCCCTAGTCTTAATGAAAAGCGTTAGGAAATCTGAAACGAGGACGAGCTGCAGGTCCTGATAGACTGACCCCTGAGATATTTAAGGATGGTGGTCCAGTTTTATCTGCTAGGTTGACTGAGATCTTAGGTAGAATCTGGAAACTGGACGTAATCCCATCCGACTGGTCTCAATCACTGATTGTCCCAGTCTATAAGAGAGGACAAAAGTCTTGTTGTGACAATCACAGGGGAATAAGTCTAACTAATATAGTATCTAAAATATTGGTCTCAATAATACTTCGACGCTTAACGAAAGCTCGTGAAGAGCAAACTCGAGAAAACCAATCTGGTTTTCGACCTGAACGTGGTTGTATGGACCACGTCTTCACACTCAGACAGGTCCTGGAACATAGACACACATTTAGGCGTCCTACAATATATGTCATCCCGGACGTTAAGGTGGCATTCGACTCTGTTGATCGTGAGGTTCTGTGGCAGCGTCTATCATCGAAAGGTGTACCAAAGAAGTACATTAACCTTATACAAGCTCTTTACTCGAACACCACTGGTCGAGTTAGAGCTTATGGCGAACTGTCACCGGGATTCTTCACTTCAAGTGGTGTGCGTCAGCGATGTCTGCTCTCTCCATTCTTGTTTAATTTTATCATAGACATGCTCCTAGAAATAACCTTATCCTCGTCTGAATTTTCTGGAATAGACCTTTTACCAGGTGGCTCGCCTATTGACTTAGAATATGCCGATGACATAGTCCTACTTGGTGAAGACGCTGACAAAATGCAGTCTTCTGACTACCCTAAGCAACAATGAAAGCATGTTCGGGATGCGGTTTTCCCCCTCAAAATGCAAAATGTTGCTTCAAGACTGGGTTGCATCGGCACCTGAACTAGTGATAGGGAGTGAAGTAGTCGAACGTGTAGACCGCTTCACTTATCTTGGGAGTCTCATCAGTGCCGATGGCCTGGTGACTGACGAAATCTCAGCTCGGACACAGAAGGCTCGATTGGCTTTTGCCAACCTGCGTCACTTATGGCGTAGGCCTGGCATCCGTTCTCTAATCAAAGGACGGGTGTACTGTGCAGCAGTTCGCTCTGTTCTCCTATATGGCTGTGAAACATGGCCAGTGAGAGTAGAAGATATTCGTAGGTTACTGGTTTTCGATTATGGGTGTCTTCGAAGCATTGCTCGTATACCGTGGGACAACCGAGTGAGCAATGCTGTCGTTAGGAAACGAGTACTTGGTAAGGATGGCAGATCAGTCGATGAAGTGGTGAAACTTCATCAGTTTAGGTGGTTGGAACATGTCTTGCATATGCCGAACCACCGACTGCCTCGACGAACTTTCGTAGTGTAGGTTGGAAGAAAGTTAGGGGCGGCCAAACCAAAACATGGCAGACATCCATGAAGTCATTGACGAGTGGACTTAGCCATGTCGGTAATTGTCGGCTACCTGGTTGGGGTCTGCGAGATGATAATAATCGATGGTTAGAGACCTTGAATGACATGGCTCAGAATCGTTCGCAACGGCGCCGGTGCATTTATTCTTTGTGTTCTCTCAAATCCTAATCTTCTGGATTCTTCAACACCTCTAGTTCTGACGTTCTAAACTTTTCTCACTGAATCATACTTCTTGAATAATATCTTCTAATCCTAATCTCTTCGACTACTTCTAATACCTTTACTACCTCTTCTACTATTGGATTTGAATTGACAATTACATCTCTGTGCTGATGTGGTATGGCGACATGAACTGATGTACTTACGTATGAAGTTCTACATTGCATCTGACTGACTGACTGACTTATCGGACATGACATTACATAAAAAGAACTCAACTGATAAACGTAAGTTCGTTAAATAAACTGTCTCTCATGAACTTTTTGCCTCCTTACTTTATTTCCCAGCTTATTGCCTTGGTAGTTCGCAGTCATTTCAAGGACATTCCCGTATAACTTTAAAACGTTTCCCACAATCGATTATCCGACCTACTATGGACGAAACTGAGACAGTGTTTGTCGCAAGTCCTCGATATAATGTTGCTAACGTGATTACGAATGATTCATTTACACCTGGTGGACCTGCCTTGACAGTTATCAGTCCAAACACAAAACACCAAACAGTTACATGCCAAACCAACCAGCTACCCCCCATCGCCCCTGCTCCAGGAAGTCTGGAATCTTCTGGATCTAATGACATTAATCCGTCTGGTGTGTACGGATCCTCGAATTCCGGTAGTATGCTTCGTACCGTACCGTGCCCACACAAAGGTTGTGGAAAGCTGTTTCGTGACAATTCTGCTATGCGTAAGCATTTACACACACATGGTCCACGGGTACACGTTTGTGCTGAGTGTGGAAAAGCATTTGTTGAATCTAGTAAATTAAAAAGACATCAACTAGTTCATACTGGTGAGAAACCTTTCCAATGCAATTTTGAGGTGAGTTTTGATGTGATTAGTGAATTATTATGCTATTGTCAGTCGATATTTCTTTGTAACAGGATTAACACAACTAATTTTAATAAATAGAAGAGGAAAGCTGCGTGACTAAAGACCACGCCTCAGTGTTCACATTAAACGGATTAAAATGCCTCAGTAGTGTCACCATCAGGTCTTTTTAGTTATATCTATTAACGTTTTAGACCCAAGGTTTCACATGTCCAAAACAAAACTCACACCAAAGCGTAGTCCTGACTTTGTAGTGACAGGCTGTGTTAGCCCTACAAAAGTACTTTACAGATCTCTTGCGAAATACGCTCCGAACTCTAATCACCAACCAATTACTGATTTATATTGGACTGAGTCTCCCACTACGAAATTACTTTCTTCCAAAGCGTAAATAGTTCACCGAATATTAAGATATATTTTCGTTTCTAAACTGTATCATTTATACTGCGGTCTACCTGTTACTATCCGACTGCATAATTCATAAGGAAGCATATTACCGGTGCAGTTGTTACACTTAAAACTATTGACAAGCAAATTTCAACAATATATCTGTCATACTTACGCTAAGTGAGAGAAACATCGTCTGTACATCAGTTAGTGAGAATATATTAAACAAAGGTCGGTTGTTCACATCCTTTTACTTAAGTTTCCTTTTAGAATTTTTTCTAACCATTTTATGTTCGTCATAAAGCTACTTTTATCTCTTTATTTTGTTTGTAAATTACCATTTTCAGGGTTGTGGCAAGCGCTTTTCATTGGATTTTAATTTACGCACACATGTACGTATACACACTGGTGATCGTCCTTACATATGTCCGTTCGAGAATTGTCACAAACGTTTTGCCCAATCTACAAATTTAAAGTCTCATATTATGACACACGCCAAGGTCAGATATCGGTAAGTGGTATTCAGGAAGGTTTATGTCCAGCACAAACCGTATTGATCATGTCGATTTTGTTAGTTGTAGTTGTCAAACTATGTGGATTGTCGTTCTAATGTGAGACGACCATAAATTATTATTACCATAGGCTTGCACTTCGTGTAAGTCCTGTATGAAATATTACTTACAGAATATTAGGTGACATGTATGATTTTGATTTAAATATTTTTAAATAATACTCTAAGTCAAATTTGAATCCCGGAGTACTTGCAAAATCGGGACATTTCCGCGCACACTGGGAATGTTTAAATATTGTGGCGCTTTTACGTAACTACAAGATTCAGCTAGCCAGATACGCCTACTCATTATACTTTGGGCGCTATGTATACCACCTATTTTCTTCATTGTTGGTGTATATTCCCCTATGCATTACATGCACATTTTCGTTTAATTGTATTATACACATATATACATAGATTGTCTGTGGTTTTTTATACTATACAGAGGTCCACGTAGCTCTTCAACAACTTCACAAACACCCGGATACTTCTCTGAACTTGATGAATTATCAATTCCTCAGCAGTCTTCGGTTTCTGATAATGTCGATGATTCGAACAAACCCTATTCTGCACTAGAAAATGATGGCGGAAATAATATACAAGCCAAAAGTACATCTCCTTTTATGGTAACCTCATCTAATTCTTCCAACTCAAAACAACCATATATAAAAGCTCCTCGAGGTTATACTCGCCCAACCTCGGCATCACAGTACACTTCTCATGAGTCGCCACCACCTCCATACGCGATCGATGAGACATCTTTGTCTGTATCCACAGGTTCTAAATGTGAATTGCGGAACGACCCATACATTATACTACCGAAATATACACACAGTAGGCGGAAAAATTCCAAACCAACTATTAACCCTAATGATGATATTGATGATGATAATGATGACGAAGACGTAGAAGATTGTTTCATAAAGCAAGAATTTGATCGTAGTTTCATATTATCGGATCCAGGTATCGGTTCCGAATTGTTCGTTGATTCTGCTCAAGAAGATCGTGATATATGGCATACTAATGAATATTCCACTTTAGATCGTCTACATTTGTCTAATTCACTGGGAAGTTCAAACCACCAACCTATTATTATGTGCACAAGAGATCAGCGTCGCAGGATAATTCAACAAAGCAATATTATGCCAGACTATATTTTATGTCGTCAACAAACGATACCTATCTTGAGATTGCCTACTCCTGCGCGTACAGTAGTATCTATTGGACGACCACAGCAGCAGTCTTGACAGTTTTTTATGATAGCATCAATTTCCAGTTTTTCTTGATGTTATTGTTCGAAGATCTCGTCTTTGCCTGTCTTACTGAATACAGTAAGTTCAAATTAGGTACTCTACATTAGTACTTTTGCAACCATGCAGTTAGACTTTTGACGTATGTCTTACTAACCTCTAGCGGTTATCATACGCTTAAATCACACCTTGTATATTTACTGTTTCAACAATCTACTAAGTTGTTTCAGTTTATTCTGTTAATAACTAGTTTCACTGTCCCTGAATTTTCCCCTCAGTATAAATTTGTACAGATCAAGATTAACTTGCTTTGTCCCTTTATTTGGATATCCAAACGCTTGACAACTAATATACTAAGTTTTATTACTAACTTTTCTTTTCAAACACATAACAAAACCTACTGGTTATTTCTTGTGCCTACATGTAAATCGTGCAGTGCTCTAATGGAATTCTTTTCAATCTTCTACGTATAATGTTTTTTATGTACAGACAGTTCCAAATAATCTGTGATTTTCCGAACTCAAGTCTACTCATGCATGATTTTGGGCTCGATACGCACTTTTCACTGCTTGGAGTAATATCTACTATAAGACATAATATTTCATTCCTAAACGCTAAGACTAATCAAGCTATTTTGCAACTCATGCTAAACAAATTACCACTTTGTTTTCTTGGATCGTGAATCAATAAAGTACATATATGCTTTGGGAAGATGCTTCATCTTGACTCATCAGTTTTGTTACTGAATGTTTTGAGGTTATTTTAACATGATTCTGTACAATAAAAGGTTCATACTGTACACTTTTATACCTGTTTTGATTGGTCACTAATTATAACGTTTCGTATTTAGCACTGTATTTTGACGATCTAAGAGTTTAAACGACTCATATCATTCTAACCCAGTGTTATATGTTATGGATTGGTCATTCTTCATTGGATTTTGTTAGGTGAATGCGCCTAAGGAAAAACTCGTAAATATAGTCTTATGCTGCACTATCTGGTTTCATTTTTATCTCAAGACAACCCCTAAATGCCTCGTTAGGGTTGAGTGAGGGGATTCCACAATCGCTTTCGAAATTCTCCCATGTGACCATGCGTATATAGCCACTACTAGGGAATTCGTACTCACTGCCTCCTCGTGACGGGCTGTTGTTCACGAATTCAAGAGATCGGGAAGTGAGTGTCCGAATTGGTGGGTACGGGATATCCCCCTAGAGGGGTTGGAAAGCCTCGATTCCAAACCATTGGTAGGTATGGGCTCCAGGATCCTGACGGGACGAATGACGTATGAACCTATTGTTGGTTGCCTGCTACCATGGGACTACTCCGTTTCCTTGTGGATTAGACTTCTGGGTCGTGGCCGCCACGTGCCTCGGTTCCGTTAGCCGGGTAGTATCCTAGGTCACGTGAAAATTCAGTAATTTGTGTGGCGCACAAATATCTAGTAGCCCCTCTGTACCAATGCGTATGTGATTGAATATAATATGTAAATATACAGAAACTGTAATAAATCCAATGGGTATTCGCACTGCTTTGTCAAGTTTTATGTTTCCAGATAGTTTCTTGGTAATTCTAACCTCACGGTGGTATAAGCTACGTTACGTTACCTCTGGAAAAGAGATTCTAATATGTATACTAACTGGATAAGTATAACAAAATCATCGCGTCATGACACGATTTAGGTGCTGGTATAGATTTTAGGACTATGTTATAGCCTCCAGCTGTTCACACTTTAAGTAGACCATTCTAAAATGATACCAAAATGTTGAGTTTTTCATTTAGAAAAATTGTTTGTTACATAGTTTGAGTTTCCTCATGATATCAATCAAATAAGATGATGGTTTTTAAAAGGTTTTTTTGTTTGCGACATTTATAATATATCAATGTTATTCCGCTAACTGGATTTTGAATAATCTGATTCATATCGACTTTCATCGAATTTGACACTTGATAGTTGCTCCACAATTAATTCTTTCGGATCGCCTGGACGACATTCATCGTTGGCGTTAGTATCGGTGGACTCAACTACATTTTTATTGGACTGGGTCAGACGTAGAAGGGTGCCTACAGAAGGTGTATATATTTCAAAAATGCAAATTACTTTTAATTCTGTTATTAACACAGTAACTAATCAATAAAAGTCATGAGGTGGTTAACCATCTTAGCAGTCATCAAATTTGATCTGTAACATGCTTAGATAGGAGAGATATATTTGTCAAGTATCATGTGTAGGAGTAATATTATTCATCCTAAAATTTTAAAAATCGTGGATCTGATCTTATTTGATGTATTAGTTGGGTCAACTTCGAAAATTCTTCAGCCAAGTCAAAGTAGTAGCGATATTAAGTCTTGAGTACTATGGTTGTTATAGTCTATACAGGATAAACTGGAAAGTGATCGGCATTAATTCGGTCATTTAAAAAGTCCACTCTATGGCAGGTAATAAATCACGTAGTTATTATTATCCAGTTTATAAAAACTGGTCAGGAAGCTTCACAACGATAAAAATTTTAGCAGGAACTCAGTGACAAACAGTAGATGTCAGCTCCAACGCTTAAATAAACAATCATGCTTAATTTATAGGGGATAACTTACGTCGTTCTCTCTCACGAACAGTTTTTAAAGCATCAGTAAATTGCTGGTCGAGATCCTGTGTCTCTGTAGAACTGAAACGAGAAAAGAAACCAGTTACTCATTGCAGCCCATTCACCATGTATTGTAATGTATTGCTTCCTGACAACTGATCATACTTATAACCCAGTATTAAATCTCTTTCGATACGGAAGATATTGTCTACTGACAAAAATATCGAATTTACACAACTATCAAAAACTCAATTACCGAAAAAGTAACCAGATGAACATGTGAGAAGTAATCCGAAATTCAGTAACATACTTGTAGACAGACAAAAGTAGAGCTGTTGACGAATCCAGAATATTAGGATTTAAGAGAACAAAAACAGTGGATGCGCCTGCGCCATCGCAAACGATTTTGAGCCATGTCATTCAAGGTCTCAAACCATCAGTTACTATCGTCACGTGGACTGCAATCACGTAGCCTACATCTACCAACATGACTCAGTCCACTTGTCAGTGACTTCATGGATGTCTGCCATGTTTTGGTTTGGCCGCCCCTAACTTTCTTCCAACCTACTCCTACACCACAAAACATAGCTCGTCGAGGCAGTCGGTGGTAAGGCATTCGTAACACATGTCCCAACCACCTCAATTGATGAAGAGATCATGGGTAACCGAAGTGTGTGGCTAAATGCCATTTGAACTGATCCCTGAAGTGTTCCGCTCATCAATCCAATCTCCTGGATTGAAAAAATGAATAATAAGACCATCTTTTTCCGAAATAGTCTCACTCACATTTGGGTTCCAAATACCGGTTTTCTTGATAAGTCTGAATAGTTGCCCATCGCCGCTGCCTTTTCCATCCTTTTCGCTTTCGCTACACACTACTGTTCACGATCATTGCGAAGGATTTTTATCAGCCTGTGCCTAAGCTGGATCCGCTCTTCATCGCTCTCATAACCAGACGGGATGAGCTTCCGAGCATCCATCACTTCCGTAGATGCTACTGAAATCCAGAGCTTTTCCCTAACCTCATAGATTACCTTAATAACAGACATCACTGCTCTTTCCAGAGCTTTTCTGATATCGTTCCAAGCTACCTCAAGTCGGGCATCACTAACTATATCGCCGCCTAACTGATGTTCTAGTTGTTCCTGAAATGTATTCTTCGCTCTATCATCATTAAGTAGAGCCCTAAGAGGTTTTATCGCGATACTTTTCCTACGTCCGGTAATTCGCAAACAAATACGAGCTCGCACTAGGGCCTGGTCTGGATCTGGACATGTACCCCAGAATGAGAGACAGTCCTCTATCGAACCTCTCCATCGATGGCTGATGGCGATATGATCTAGTTGGGTCCAGCGTTGTGACGACTTTGGGGGTTACCATGTCAAGAGATGCTTTTCCTGACACCTAAAGTTAGTGTTTGCTAGGAAATAGGCGGTTCTCTGGGAATATTTGCAACAGACGATCGCCATTATATGTTCTTTGAGCCGTGACACCATAAGATCCACCAAGGTATCTTTCCTTTTCACTTAGTCTATTTACTTGAGCATTAAAGTCACCAACCATTATTACTATATCAGAGCACCTAACGTTTTGGAGGAGGCCCGAAAGCTTTCTTAAGTACTCATCTTTCACATCGTCTGAACTGCAGTCAGTGGTAGCGTAGACGGAGACAATGAAGAGGCAACGGCGAGTGTCCCTATCTTTCCGAATCCTTACTGTCCCATTCAGTCGGAACATTTATGGCGCGCGATTCTAAAGTCGTATCTAATGAAGCCTGTTGTTCTATTTGACACAATGTCTGTACATTAAAAGCTCCAACATGTAGTCTAGAACGGGGTGTCAGGAGACCAGGAATAACTTTTCGTGAACTCGCACCGTTTGCGTTAGCAGTACGGGGTGATAAACGAATGTGAGTAGAGATAGTCGTGGAGATAAGAGAGATATTAGGGGGTCTATGAAGGATTGATTATCACCGATTTTGTCTTGCGTGCTGTTACGAATATGACGGCGGTTGTGACTTCCCGGCTGTTTCTTGAGGGACCTGAAAAGGAAGGTAGATTAGTGTTGGTCTTGGAGACCTGGGTGCGTGACCGCAGAGTCCAAGGGACAACTGCTTGAGGCCGGTCATGCATGGCCTTTATTTGGAGTTTTTAAAGCGTTAGCTTTGCTCTTGTTCAAAAGGCCTTACCACCGAAGACGGAGATCCGTGAGGTAGGGTGAGGTGTGACATTTTTAGGGTCTACTTTTTATGACCCCTTTCTTCCTTGTGAGAAGGCAGCATCGCTGCAGATGCTGGTTGTCCGAGGGAAACACCTTATTGCTGTCACACCTCTCTGCAGTCAGCAGTACGACTTCGCCCTCAAACCTTGAATTGTTGCTTCTAGTCTTACCGTTCTCCAATCGACCTGTTTGGCATGGTAGAACCTACAGGAACATGTGTTCCAGCCGTCACGATGGGCTAGCCCGATCACCACGTTACAATAACGGCTACTGCTCTTTGTAGAAGCGTGTAACAGCAGTAAAGTGTTTTTCCTAGAAAACTAAGTTTTGTATCGATATTGCCATCTCACAGCGGAAGGAAGGGATTAGAAAAAGTCCACTCTAAAGATGTCGCACCTCACCTTACGTCTCCTGCCTAAAGCCATTTGAGGGGCGGAGCTAACACTTCGGGGTGTGACCTCGTTTTTACTGTCTCGCACATTCGTATTTTGGTACCCTATGTACATTTGTATACAAATAAATTTAATATTAGGGAAACTTTCTTATCCAGTTTATTTTATCAAGAGACACTATTGAATACTAAGCTAAGAGCTTTAAAAAATTTTATGTACCATTATCGTACTAATACAATGCCTTGCTGTTCTTTCCTTGAGGTTTAAAAGCAACGGATGTCAATTATAATCTTAAAGACATGTAAACGTTAGCCTTGAGCTTTTTGATTCTGTTGAATAGGAAATTAGAACTAAGCCTTTAATTGTGTTATCACTATATGAATTATAAATCATCCAACCTACTCACAAGATTTCCCTTTGCAAATTTTTAAACAGAACCGCATTCAAGTATGTCATAAACCAAACAAGTGAGGATTATGGTAAATGAATGCTTCGAAGATGCCAAGCGTGTCTAGCAATGTGTGTTATTTTTAATAATCACTCAGTTTGATACTCTATACTTAGCATTGTCAGGTGTATTTGTTAGCCATAATCAAAGTATTCCTCGGTGGATTGTTCCCTACAAGTAACATGTTTTTAATTCACCAATAGTCCTGAATACTATGCCTTAAATAACGAAACCACTTACTCAAAATTAATTGATTCATCCGATTTTCCACACTTGGAGCAGATTTTCAAAGCACATGAACAATCCACACAGACTGTATAGTAGGCTTGCTTCACAGTCTTTCTGTTACACTTCACACTATTAGGATTGAAAATAAATAAAGATACAGTGGGATTAATTAGTTACTTCTTTATTCAGCTACTGTATCGAGCGATTAGATTACTGAAAACAGCGAAAAGGCTATTAAATATAAAAAAAGATATCAAACAGAGAAGTTATTTGGAGCTAGATTTTATGTAAGCTTGTTATCCCTAATGAAGTGTAGGCCGGCGATCAACATTATCCAACCAACTTTGTCCTCAGCCTTCGTACCCCGTTTTACCCAACTTCTATTAATTCTTTTCATATCCGTATCCATTTCTCGGGCCAGTGTTTTTCGATCCACCTATTTTCCTTTGGCCCTGAGGGTTCCAAGTTTTGGCTTGCATCCTGATGCGGTTGAGTGCTTTTCCCTAATTTCTCCCTCAGCTGGAATCTGGTTTCTCACCCACATTTGGTTGTTGCTGGTGGTGCCTGGACAACGGATCCGCACTACCTTGCGTAGACAACTGTTAATAAACAAATGTATCTTATGGATGATGGCTTCCGTCGTTCCCCAAGTTTCCGCCCAATAAAGTTGAACGATTTTGATGTATGTATTGATAATTCTAAACTAAGTGTTGGTAGGCAGTTATTTTTAGTTCCAAATGTCTAATTATAGAAGTGCGGCAGCCTTTGTTTTGACGATATGCGTCTTCACATCTGCATCAGACCCACCTTCAGTCATTCAGTCAGTTAAAACATCGAACATCGTACATGAGTAAATAATTTTAGTTTGCCATACCAAATAAGTACAGATATGTAATTATCAATTCAAATCCAATAGTAGAAGGTGTAGTAAAGGTATTAGCAGTAATCGGAGAGATTAGGGTTCAAAGATATCATTCAAGAAGTACAATCTAGTGAAATAAACTTAAAAAGAAAAAGTGATGAGCAATTCAGAAGGTTAGAATTAGAAAGAACACAAAGAGTGGATGCACCTGCGCCATCGCAAACGATTTTGAGCCATCTCGATCAAGGTCTCTAAACATCGGTAACTATCGTCTTGCGGATCCTAAACAGGTAGTCTACATTTACCACCATGGCTCATTACACTTGTCAGTGACTTCATGGATTTCTGCCATGTTTTGGTTTGGCCGCCCCTAACTTTCTTCCAACCTACTCCTAAACCACAAAACATAACTCGTCGAGACAGTCGGTGGTTGCCCATTTGTAACACATGTCCCAACCACCTCAACTGATGAAGTTTCACTACTTCATCTATTGATCTGCCATCCTTACCTAGTACTCGTTTCCTAACAACAGCATTGCTTACTCGGGTAACCAGCGATACACAAGCAATGCTTCTAAGATATCTATGATCGAATACTAGTAACCTACGACTATCTCCTACTCTTACTGGCCATGTTTTGCAGCCATAAAATAGGACAGAGAGAACGGATGGGCAGTAAACGCATCATCTGGTTGCTAGACGGATACCTCACCTACGCCATAAGTGACGCAGGTTGGCAAAAGCCAATCAAGCCTTCTGTATCCCAAACATAGCTGCTACTTGGCGTGGTGGTCGGGCTACAATATCGTGATGACCAAACCGAGCTATACTGGCTGGAACATATGCTCCTGCAGGTTCTACCATGCCAGGCGGGTCGATTTAAGAACGATGAGACTAAAAGCAGCTCAGCTACCCAAGGTCTGAGTGCGAAATCGTACTGCTGACTGCAGAGGGGTGTCACGGCAGTAAGGTGTTTCCTCGGACAACCAGCATCTGCAGCGATACTGCCTTCTCACAAGAAAGGTAGGGGTTAGAGAAGGTCATACTTCTTGAATAATATCTTCTAATCCTAACCTCTCCGACTACTTCTAATACCTTTACTACCTCTTCTACTATTAGATTTGAATTGACAATTACATCTCTGTGCTGATGTGGTATGGCAACATGAACTGATGTACTTACGTACGAAGTTCTACGTTGCATCTGACTGACTGACATTCGGGTTCCTAATAGCGGTTTTCTTGATGAGTCTGAATAGTTGCCTATTGTTGCCTACCACCACTGCCTTTTCCATCCTTTTCGCTTTCGCTACCCACTACTGTTAACGATCATTGCGAAGGATTTTTATCAGCCTGTGCCTAAGCTGGATCCGCTCTTCATCGCTCTCATAACCAGGCAGGATGAGCTTCCGTGCATCCATCATTTCCGTCTGTTCACCACGAGATATAGTTAGGCGTCGGAGTATTATTGAGGCAAATATTTTAGATACTATATTAGTGAGACTGATTCATCTGTGGTTGTCACAAAAGGAGTTTTGTCATTTTGTCGACTGGGTCAATCAGTAATTGAGATCAGTCTGATGGGAACATGTCCAGTTCCCAGATTCTACCTATGTTCTGAATCAATCTAGTTGCTAGAACTGGACGACCATCCTTAGAAATCTCAGGTGTCAATCTGTCAGGACCTGCTGCTCTCCCTCGCTTCAGATTTCCTATAGCTTTCTCAACTTCATTAAGACTAGGGGGACTTAAGTCGATTCAGGATGACTGGAGATCGTGGGTAACCGAAGAGTGGCTCGAGGCCAGTTGAACTGATCCTTAAAGTGTTCTGCCCATCGATCCAGTCTCCTGATAGACTGACCCCTGAGATATTTAAGGATGGTAGACCATTTTTAGCAGCTAAGTTGGCTAGATTTAAGATAGAATTTGGGAATTGGATCTAATCCCATCCGACTGGTCTCAATCACTGATTGTCCCAATTCATAAGAAAGGACAAAATCTTCTTGCGACAATCACAGGAGAATCAGTCTAGCTCATATAGTATCTAAATTGTTAGCCTCGGATATACACAGACGCCTAACTAGTGCTCGCTAAGAGCAGACTAGAGAAAACCAGGTTGGTTTTAGACCTGGACGTGGCTGCATAGACCACATATTCACACCACGACAGGTCCTGGAACACAGACACACATTTAGGCGTCCTACAATATATGTCATCCCGGACGTTAAGGTGGCATTCGACTCTGTTGATCGTGAGGTTCTGTGGCAGCGTCTATCATTGAAAGGTGTACCAAAGAAGTACATTAACCTTATACAAGCTCTCTACTCGAACACTACGGGTCGAGTTAGAGCTTTTGGCGAACTGTCACCGGAATTCTTTACTTCAAGTGGTGTCCGTCAGGGATGTCCACTTTCCCCATTTTTGTTTAATGCTGGCATAGACATGCTGCTAGATGTAACCTTATCCTCGTCTAAATTTCCAGAAGTCGACCTTCTACCAGGGAAATCGCTTACTGACCTGGGATATGTTGATGACACAGTTCTGTTTGGTGAAGACGCTGACAAAATGCAGTCTTCTGACTACCATAAGCAACAATGAAAGCATGTTCGGGATGCGGTTCTCACCCTCGAAATGCAAAATGTTGCTTCAAGATTGGGTTGCATCGGCACCTGAACTAGTGATAGGGAGTGGAGCAGTTGCGCGTGTTAACCTTTTCACTTATCTGGGGAGTCTCATCAGTGCCGATGGCCTGGTGACTGACGAAATCTCAGCTCGGATACAGAAGGCTCGATTGGCTTTTGCCAACCTGCGTTACTTATGGCGCAGGCGAGATATCCGCTTGTTAACCAAAGGACGAGTGTACTGCGCAGCAGTTCGTTCCGTCCTACTGAACGGATGTGAAACATGGCCAGTGAGAGTAGAAGATATTCGTAGGTTACTTGTTTTCGATCATAGGTGTCTTAGAAGCATTGCTCGTATATCCTGGGACAACCGTATAAGCAATGCTGTTGTTAGGAAACGGGTGCTAGGTAAGAATGGCAAATCAATAGATGAAGTGCTGAATCTTCATCAGTTGAGGTGGTTGGGACATGTGTTGCGTATGCCTAACCACCGACTGCCTCGACGAGCTATAATTTGTAGTGTAGGAGTAGGTTGGAAGAAAGTTAGGGGCGGCCAAACAAAAACGTCCGGTAAGTCGCAAACAAATACGAGCTCGCACTAGGGCCTGGTCTGGATCTGGACATGTACCCCAGAATGAGAGACAGTCCTCTATCGAACCTCTCCATCGATGGCTGATGGCGATATGATCTAGTTGGGTCCAGCGTTGTGACGACTTTGGGGGTTACCATGTCAAGAGATGCTTTTCCTGACACCTAAAGTTAGTGTTTGCTAGGAAATAGGCGGTTCTCTGGGAATATTTGCAACAGACGATCGCCATTATATGTTCTTTGAGCCGTGACACCATAAGATCCACCAAGGTATCTTTCCTTTTCACTTAGTCTATTTACTTGAGCATTAAAGTCACCAACCATTATTACTATATCAGAGCACCTAACGTTTTGGAGGAGGCCCGAAAGCTTTCTTAAGTACTCATCTTTCACATCGTCTGAACTGCAGTCAGTGGTAGCGTAGACGGAGACAATGAAGAGGCAACGGCGAGTGTCCCTATCTTTCCGAATCCTTACTGTCCCATTCAGTCGGAACATTTATGGCGCGCGATTCTAAAGTCGTATCTAATGAAGCCTGTTGTTCTATTTGACACAATGTCTGTACATTAAAAGCTCCAACATGTAGTCTAGAACGGGGTGTCAGGAGACCAGGAATAACTTTTCGTGAACTCGCACCGTTTGCGTTAGCAGTACGGGGTGATAAACGAATGTGAGTAGAGATAGTCGTGGAGATAAGAGAGATATTAGGGGGTCTATGAAGGATTGATTATCACCGATTTTGTCTTGCGTGCTGTTACGAATATGACGGCGGTTGTGACTTCCCGGCTGTTTCTTGAGGGACCTGAAAAGGAAGGTAGATTAGTGTTGGTCTTGGAGACCTGGGTGCGTGACCGCAGAGTCCAAGGGACAACTGCTTGAGGCCGGTCATGCATGGCCTTTATTTGGAGTTTTTAAAGCGTTAGCTTTGCTCTTGTTCAAAAGGCCTTACCACCGAAGACGGAGATCCGTGAGGTAGGGTGAGGTGTGACATTTTTAGGGTCTACTTTTTATGACCCCTTTCTTCCTTGTGAGAAGGCAGCATCGCTGCAGATGCTGGTTGTCCGAGGGAAACACCTTATTGCTGTCACACCTCTCTGCAGTCAGTAGTACGACTTCGCCCTCAAACCTTGAATTGTTGCTTCTAGTCTTACCGTTCTCCAATCGACCTGTTTGGCATGGGAGAACCTACAGGAACATGTATTCCAGCTAATATATCTTCGTCGGGTCATCATGATAAACAGGCCCGAGCACTAATGAGACTCCCGAGGTAAGTGAAGCGGTCAACATGCCTAACTGCTTCACTCGATATCACTAGTTCAGGTGCCGATACAAGCCAAACCTGAAGCACCATTCTGCATTTCGAGTGGCAGAATGGCATCCAGAACATGCTTGCATCGTTACTTTGGGTAGTCAGGAGACACTGCATTTAGTCAGTGTCTTCATCAAGTAGAACTGTCATCGGCATATTGAAAGTCAACCAATGAATCTCCTTGTAGAATATCTACTCCTGAAAATTCAGATGAAGATAATATTATATCTAGAAGCATGTCTATGACAAAATTAAATAACGGAGAAAAGCATTTCAAATAGCTGGGCTGTAATGGAGAATTATAACAGTGGCGACGAGGATAAAGGAAAAAAATTCAAGATTCCCATATCAAATGGCCATTTCAACCGAATACTACAACAACAGCAAGCACAATTAGATGCACACATGCAGTTGTTGGAGCCTCTGACTCAACAGCCCAACATCCACTACTCGAGTTCACCGGTTATTTCAAGTACGTCTCGTGATGCAGTTGCAACAGCATCCCAGAATTTATCTATGACCCCGAAAGTGGAAATACTTTTCTCACGTGGTTTAAACATTGGGAAGATGCATTTAGAATAGAATCCGGTAAACAAGACGACACGTGAAAGACTTGATTGTTAGTACGTAAGTTGGGAAGCAACGGACATGCACGTCATGCTGATCGTATACTAACTAAGTTACCTCGAGAGCTCAGTTTCGAGGAGACAGTAAATCAATTGTCAGAGATATTTGGTGAATCATCCTTATTGTTTAGTATTCGATATCACTGTCTAAATCTGGTGAAACGCGAAGCCGATGAATACGGGATCGTAGCAGACATTGTCAACAGAGAATTTGAACGGTCCAAGTTACGCTCGTTGACAGAAGACCAATTTAAATGCCTAATCTTCATCAAAGCTCTTCAGTCACCGCAATACGCTGAGAACAGAACTATACTTTTGACTCGACTGGATCAAGACTCCAACGTCACACTCAACACATTGACAGGTGAGTGTAAGCGGCTACAAAGCATCAGACAGGACAACAAGTCGATTGAACAAGTAAATCCTAATTTACCCGGCAGTAGCGTCAATGCTGTTACTAGGTTAAAAGTTTAGAAGCCGATAACAACTTGGAACAAACCATCGACTGCATGTTGGTTATCTGGAGATTGGTATTATGTACGATTCTGTCCATTTAAGAAGCATAAATGTCAGATGTTCAAAAAACTTGGACAGAAAGAATGTGACTGTCTACTAAATCGTACGTCTCATCCCAGGAAGAAGCAAAGGAGAGCAGCGGGTCCTGATAGGCTCAACCCTCAGAATTTTAAGGATGGTCGTCTAGTTCTAGCAACTAGATTGATTCAGAACATAGGTAGAATCTGGGAACTGGACATGTTCCCATCAGACTGATCTCAATTACTGATTGACCCAGTCGACAAAATGACAAAACTCCTTTTGTGACAACCACAGATGAATCAGTCTCACTAATATAGTATCTAAAATATTTGCCTCAATAATACTCCGACGCCTAACTATAGCCCGTGGTGAACAGACTAGAGAAAAACGAGCTGGTTTTCGACCTGGACGTGGATGTATAGACCAAATATTCACACTACGTCAGGTCCTAGAACAAAGGCACGTTTAAACGCCCCACAATAGTAGTACTCCTCGACCTTAAAGTGGCTTCGGACTCCATTGATGGTGAGGCTCTGTGACAGTGTCTGTCATCAAAAGGTGTACCAAAGAAGTACATCAACCTTATACAGGCTCTCTACTCGAAAACTACCGGTCAAATGAGAGCTTATGTCGAACTGTCATTGGAATTAGTTACTTCAAGTGGTGTCCGTTAGGGCTATCCACTCTCTCTATCCTTGTTTAACTTTGTCGTAGACATGCTCTTAGTGTTAACTTCATCTTTGTCTGACTTTTCAGGTGACACGCTTTCTGACTGAGAGTATGCTGATGACATAGTAATATTCGGTGAAGATGCTGACGAAATAGTCTTCTGACTACCATAAGCAACAATGCAAGCATGTTCGGGATGCAGTTCTCTCCCTCGAAATGCAAAATGTTGCTTCAAGATTGGGTTGCATCGGCACCTGAACTAGTGATAGGGAGTGGAGCAGTTGCGCGTGTTAACCTTTTCACTTATCTCGGTAGTATCATCAGTGCTGATGATCCGGTGTGCGACGAAATCTCAGCACGGATACAGAAGGCTCGATTAGCTTTTGCTCACCTTCTTCATTTATGGCGTAGGTGAGATATCCGTCTAACAAGCAAAGGATGCGTTTACTGCACATCCGTTCGCTCTGTCCTATTTTATGGCTACAAAATATGGCTAGTAAGAGTAGAAGATAGTCGTAGGTTACTAGTATTCGATCATAGATATCTTAGAAGCATTGCTTGTGTATCGCTGGTTACCCGAGTAAGCAATGCTGTTGTTAGGAAACGAGTACTAGGTAAGGATGGCAGATCAATAGATGAAGTAGTGAAACTTCATCAGTTGAGGTGGTTGGGACATGTGTTACAAATGGGCAACCACCGACTGTCTCGACGAGTTATGTTTTGTGGTTTAGGAGTAGGTTGGAAGAAAGTTAGGGGCGGCCAAACCAAAACATGGCAGAAATCCATGAAGTCACTAACAATTAAGCGCGACTATCATGTCAAGGTAACAGCTACGGTCGGGTATTGATTGGTGAAGGACAGCCAAAATGGAATGCCGGTTTTTCATGACACTGCATTCAACCGCACTCATCACAACTTCAAGTGATTGAAAATGTGTATGCGCGTGTAGCAGACATATGTGCTAAACATTTAAATGAGTTAGTAGAAAGCCTGTTATTCAAACCTGTAATCTCCGAAAGCATAGATGCAGTTGTGACCGAAATTACTCAAGAAATGAAAAGATCCATGAGTAATACCATGTTGAACGGTAACTTAGTTTTGTTATCCACGACTGCTGGTACTCGCAGGATTCAAACCCAGGGCCTTGGTTTAGCTCGTGAACGCAAGACCTCTGGACCACTGATGCGAGGTCCAACGGTGTTAATATCTAATTCTGATCAATTGGGGGATTTTGCGCGCCCTCACCAATAAATATTTGTTGCTGAGTAATAAGCGGTCACAGGCACTTACCTATATAAACATATATATGTTTTCTACTTGAAGGCACCAATTACATATATTGATTGTAGAGCTATACAGGAGTACGAAATAATATATTTTCAGTGCAAACTCCAAGCTTTTCATCGCAGTAGGTTTGCTGAGTGGTATCTTTTTATTAATTTTCTATTTTAGCTTCATATGCCTTGACTATAGGTACACTTCTCAAGACAACAAGATTTATCGGAACCATATAACCCATGGATTTATCAATATGTTTCAAACGACCTGATATGTAAGTCTCGTTAGAATAGTACCCCAAGAGAATACAGTGTTCTTATAAACACGGTAGGCTATTACTATGGAAATTGTTATTTAGAAGTGACTTAAAACTACACATTTCGTTCGAAAAACTACCAAACACTCTGAACAATGCTTTAAAAGATCATTTGTCATAAGCCTTCATAAAGTACATTAAAATTCGAACAATAAAAAATAACTGAAAACCAATATTATTGTCGATTATAATCACAACTGTTCCTTTGTACACATAAGTTGTAAACACGTTTACGAAGAATAACTACGAAAATTTTCCTATAGTACTTGGTAATGGGTAAAGTAATTTAATAGAAATTACTTTACATGATATATATGTTCGATTCTGTGAAGCTTTTGGAATAAAAATCGTTTTTAGGCAAAAGTATAAAGATGATGGCTAGCTTACCAGACTCTTGGGTTTGATAACTGATGGTACTTTTTGTATTTAACCCTCCATTGTATGACATCCGAACATCTAGGACACAAACAATCGAATGTTAGATTGTTCAGGCGCTTGATTTCCTTAGAAGTATCATGCAAGTTGTTTTTAAAAACTTTTGTATTCTTATATTTCTGGGGGCGTGTCCGCTGTGCATTACCTTTCTGGGAACTCATACCCCATCAAACAAAGAAGCCTGTTGAAATTCTAGGAGAAAAGTGGTGCATGTGACTCAATCAGTGAGATCGAAGACGTACCTAAAATTAAACAACAACATAAACAAAGCAAAACAAAGTAGACAAGTGTGCACTAATTAGAATAACTCCAAGCGCTTCTCATAATCTGCGTCAACAATTCCTAAGACTTAGTTTGCTACTTTCCTTTTGTTGAGCACGGATACAAAAAGCTCGATTGGCTTTAGCCAACCTGCGTCACTTATGGCGTAGGCGTGATATCCGTTCGCTAACCAAAGGACGGGTTTACTGCGCAGCAGTTCGCTCTGTACTCCTATATGGCTGTGAAACATGGCCGTTAAGAGTAGATGTTCGTAGGTTACTAGTTTTCGATCATAGATATCTTAGAAGCATTGCTCTTATATCATGGGACAACCGAGTAAGCAATGCTGTTGTTAGGAAACGGGTGCCAGTTAAGGATGGCAGATCAATAGATGAAGTAGTGAAACTTCATCAGTTGAGGTGGTTGGGACATGTGTTACAAATGGGCAACCACCGACTGCCTCGACGAGCTATGTTTTGTGGTTTAGGAGTAGGTTGGAAGGAAGTTAGGGGCGGCCAAACCAAAACATGGCAGAAATCCATGAAGTCAGTGACAAGTGGACTGAGCCATGTTGGTAGGTGTAGACTATCTAGTTGGGGTCCGCCAGACGTAAGTCACCAGTGGTTAGATACTTTGTACGACATGGTTCAAAATCGTTTGCAATGGCGCAAGTGCATCCATTCGTTGAGCTCTCTCAAATCCTAATCTTCTGGAATCGTCAGCACCTCTACCTTTGTCTTCTAACCTTATCCCACTGAATTATACTTCTTGAATTATATCTTCAAACCTTAGTCTTCTTCATTACCATTAATACCTCTACTATCTTTATCACTATGGGATTTGATTTGACATTTGCGTCTCTGTGCTAATGTGGTATGGCAACATGAACTTATGTACATACGTACGAAGTTCTACGTTGCAATTGACTGACTGACATCTTACTGTTTGCTTAAACTAAATTAACTTCGTTTAAAACTCTACTGAAGTTTTCATGGATGTGAAATTTTAGTGAACAATTAGTCAATGATAATCAACGAAGAACATGTAAATTAAGTATGTCAAGCCAGGTTGACATACAAAAACGCGAAATGAAGTGACGAGATTAAAAAATGACTGCAGATTTAGGGATAACCATGCTCTAACTTATTAGAGGCCACAAATTTAGGTCTTGTGCTTGTAAGAAGCCAAATTACCAAACCTTGCAGTTTTCACATTATTTTAGTCGAATAATAGCACGACATAATTCCGACTTACAAAATGACAACATTTGTGTGGTGACACGGTTTATATACACCTGATTACGCAAATTACAGACAAAATAGAAGTATATGAAACAATGTCGTAAAGCTCAGAAGGCATTATAATAGCTGTACCGAAATCTTACCAATATTTGCAGACCAAGTATAAGCGATTTGGAAGAATGCAACTGGTCACCGAATCCAACGTGCTGCATAACTTATTCAATAGCCAACATTTTTCTTACAAGCTAGTATTAACCATGTGATACCTTCGCGCCCGATTCGGTAGAGCTCGAGGTCTTTGGTACTATTCAACTAACAGCAGTCTAGTCACTCGAGTGCATTAGTTCCAATCAGTTGTTGGTGAGTTTGGATGTCCATTGACTTGAATGAGTACACTGATTTCGGGGAAGCAGGGTTTCTGGATTCCAGCAGCTATCACGTTACCGGACAGAAGATCAGTTAGGTGCAGTGTCACATAGCGAGGATTCCATGATCGATATGAAATCTAGTTGAAAAACAAACATCTTGGATCAATTCCTCTTCCTGATATTCATAATTAATACTGTGAATCATTAGCACCCCCACCTTGGAGCCCATAAACTCGTCACACCCCCTCTCCTCAAAAGAGACATAAATCCCCTGCGTCAAGTGCAGAGACGAGCAACGAAGTAGGTGATTGTTTTTAACAATTGACCTTATAAAGACAGACTACGGCGCTTATTCTCTCTGAGTTACAGAATAATCACAGGTGATCAGGTAATGGAGTACAACCTATTAAGCACGCCAAATCATCTCAACGTGTGCCCGTAACCGAAGCATCACTACAAAGCTCTTCGATGCATTCGTTGAATAATTCAGCATGAAAAGGCGAACACACAGGCTCGTGCATTCTTTTTCTCGTGAACAGCTGTTTCAACTTGGGATGCCGGAATTCTGAGATGACCACAACTTCTTATATTAATGGCTTCAATAGCGGGATTGATAAACACGAACTGACACGCGGAGTATCATCTCCATCGTGGAAAGCCTGTGCCTGATACTTGTCTTCAGACTTGCTGGTTATTATTGTTATTTACATTTCCTCAGATCACTAACTCGCTTATTATCTCTGTTTCCTTTCTCTAACTTACACTTCGGTCCTCCAGTACAGTTTTCGCTACCAACTGACTAACTTATTTATTCATTTATTTACGTAGTTCTGAAATCTTCTTCTTGTCAACAGTAGAATTTTCTCCTGATTAGTTTCCACACTACACTTAACTGATCTTCGGTCTGGTAACGTGATAGCTGCTGGTATGCATAAACTCTCCTGGCCTGAGACAAACGTACTTATTCAAGTCAATGGACATCCAAACTCACCAACAACCGACTGGAACTAGGTCATTCGAGAGACTAGACTACCATTCATTGGAGAGTAATAAATACCTCGAACTCCATCGAAAGGAGAAGAATCGAGCGCAAAGAAATAAATCGCTTTACGCTATCTTGTGATACAATATTGGATTAGATATTGGAATTGAGTGGAATAGTGCTCTTATTGTTTAGAAAACTTGAGATAAATCCGGTGAAACAAACCCTAGGATCTAGAGTTGTCGGATAGTCAGCCCTTAACAACTAGTGCTTTCAAGGCTTCTTTGGGCGAAACGGGTGATTCTCAAAGCACCTTATTTGTGTGCTACACAAACGTTCGTAGTTTTAGGAATAAAACGTTTTTGTTCATGTATCTACTCATCTCATCAATCTATTTCGCAGACTACCTCATTATAATTATCACTATTGTTAGTCACATTAGGCTCACCACTATGGTGGTCCGAGATCTGATTCCAGTTCAGACAAACAAGTGAAAATACTATGAAGAACGTTTTCGTTCAATTTTCCTATAAAAAGTTTGGGCGAACCGTGTTTATTCGACAACGGTAATCGAAATTCCAATGCGGTTTTGTGTGTGAATGTTTTTCATATATTCGTGTAAACAGACGGAAAGTAAACAAAAGCGTAAAAATGAGGCGAAAAATGCATTCGTGCAGTGCCTACTTTACTAACTATATCGTTTACATCGTTTTTACGCTTCGTTACTTTCTTTCCGCCTACAAAAATTTAAGAAGTAAACCCATCCACGAAATCGCATTTGCATTTTAGTCATCTGAGACAAACGTACTTATTCAAGTCAATGGACATCCAAACTCACCAACAACCGACTGGAACTAGGTCATTCGAGTGACTAGACTACCATTCATTGGAGAGTAGTAAATACCTCGAACTCCATCGAAAGGAGAAGAATCGAGCGCAAAGAAATAAATCGCTTTACGCTATCTTGTGATACAATATTGGATTAGATTTTGGAATTAAGTTTCAGCAGTGAAAGTTTCTCCTGCTTAGTTTCTACAATGCACATGACTAGCGTGAGGACAGGCATCGTAACCGACGGAAGAAATGCTTCTGGAGTCCCTCTAATGGTAGTGTCGGTCGGCGTCCGGATGAAGTAGGAAGATAAGCCTTGTAGTTGACATATTCACCTGGTAAAGAGATAACACTCTAAAAAACGTTAACCAAAACAAATAATTCAGAGCAATTTAACTCTGATCTGAAAGTTAGAAGGTCTTCTTTCAGAATAGTATTGACGTCTCACGATGAAAGCCGAGTTCCCTCAGAAGTCACAAGGCCAATGCCCCTTCTCAAAACCAGAGCAACCATACTTTTAGCTACATGGAACGTTCGAACATTGTGGGAGACCGGAAGACCATTTCAAGTTGCTGCAGAAATGAAATGATACAAACCAGAGATGAATGGAATCAGTGAAACGCATTGGGCACAGGTAGGACAACTGAGACTAGCTTCAAGAGAACTGCTGTTATACTCTGGTCATGAAGAGGAAAATTCCTCACACGCACAAGGAGTTGCACTGATGCTGTGCAAACAAGCACAAACGGCATTAATAGGATGGGAACCTCATGGGCACAGGGTCATTAAAGCATCCTTCAAAACAAAGAAAGAGGACATTGCAATGAACGTCATCCAATGTTATGCACCTACCGATGACTACAATAAAGACGTTAAAGATCAATTCCGTGAGAGGCTGCAGTTAATCCTCGAGAAACCTCCGCCAAAGAACTCCCCCATCCTGATGGGAAACCAAAGTGCCAAGGTTGGCATGGACGACACTGGATATGAAGACATCATGGGACGACATGGACTGGGAGAAAGGAACTAACACGGTGAGAGATTTGAAAACCTATGTGCCTTCAACAAACTGGTCATTGGCGGCACAATATTTCTACACAAACGCATACACAAATCTACATGGATTTCACCAGATCACACCACTCAGAACCAAATCGACCATATATGTATCAATAATAAATTCACAAGGACCATGGAGGATGTGAGAACCAAGAGAAGAGCTGATATAGCCTCAGATCGCCACTTGCTGGTCGCCAAAATGCAAGTGAAACTCAAAAAACACTGGACAATTGGGCGGACAACATCACAAAAATTTAATACGGCCTTTCTTCGGGATACCGTAAAACTCAACAAATTCAAGATAGCCCTCACCAATAGATTCCAGGCCTTGCATGATATACTCAATGGAAAGGAAACAACCGTAGAGAACAATTGGAATGGGATCAGGGAGGCAATTACTTCAACATGTTATGAGGTTCTGGGCCACAAGAAGTGTAGTGAAGGAGAACACAGGTGAGGGCAACCGAATTGTATTTGACGAAAATTACAGAGTTACTCAGTAAAATAGGAAAACTATATCGTAACCGTTAATTTGCAAATCTTCAATTCAGCATCAATCCATTGTCTGACATTTCACTATTCATGCGTTTCATACAAATTGCATTGTGTTCCCACTCTTCCTTTCTTGATCTTCCCCCATCTTCTGCTGCCAGACATTACGTTTACACTCGCGTCATATACTACTCATAAGCAGCGCTCACCACAGAAGTGTTACGTCCAATTTTTTGCTCCTTGATCCTTAGAAGCACTGTGTGTCTATCTTTCTGCAATTCACGATCCCAAATCAAGGTGAAACCAAATTCCAAAGTTAGGTACCAAATTTTATTGTCAATTCACAAATAATCGACCAAAATATCGTTGGTTTATTACAAATAGACGACCAATGTCATTCTTCTATTTTAAAGATTCCTGGAGCAAAAAACTGCAAACGAACGAACCAAGACAAACAGGAGTCCAAAATGGCCGAAAATAATAATTCAAACAAGTCCATAAGTTAAGTGAAACAAATATACCCAAAAAACACAGTGAAATTAATGACATTTATATAAAGGTTTTGATCAGCAAAATGTCTTCATTTCTCCCGTAACACTCCCGACCAAAAGAACCTTGGTTCTTTTCACCGACAAAAATAGATAACAACAATCCAAGTATGTGCATCACAAGCAATCGACATTAAACGTTCAATATAGATTCTACAACGGCCCACAAAATCCCTCTATGCAAAACAAGCCCTTTTCAACACTTCAATTCACTAGAATCCGTAGAGTGAAACTCTTCCTTTGTTGTATAACTCATCTCGTTATATGAAAGAACAGCATTAGTGTCACAATTCGAAACCGATGAACTCACTTGTTGTTCTTCATGCTCCATTTCGGAGACACAAGACATATGCACATCAATAGCATCGTTATCATGCAACACTGTAGACTGGCTGTTACCATCAGACGCTTCCTTCTCATCATCACTCGACTGACAGTCAACCGAAGTAGGAACACTTACAGTTACACAACCTTGTGTATCCTCAATCAACTTAACATTCGCGGCAGGGTCCGATGACGTCAAAACACTAGAAGGCTCATTCGATGAAGTTAATCGACTAGTCACTATAGGTGGATTGCTCACACTTTCTGTCTCTTTACTATCGCTGTCACTACTAAGATTCTGATGACTACTATTTCCATTGCTAGTCATAGCATCCGAAAGAGAACGAAGTTTACGCTTCTTAAAGATAGTAGCATCATGTTGTTTCTTATGCTTCTTAGCTTGGGTAGCAGTATGTGAGCGTAACGTACGATCATTTCGACGACGATGAGTGTCTTTTAACTTCCATCGATCACTATTACTCGCAGGAGTATCAATGTTATCATTAGTAGCCTCAGCTGTACTAGTAGCAGTCACCTTCCCATGACATACAGTTGACTCATGCACAGTGGCTAACTTTACTCGATTAACATTGCTTTCTTTGCTAGGAATGCTCTTAACTTCATCCATCTTATCACTGTTGGTAGTGCTCATCCCGATACTTGTAATACAAGTCAATGATGGTGGAGTGCGACAGGTGGATAATTCCATGCTTTTTTCCTCATGCTGCATATTCAACACAACAGCATGTCCATAAAACCTAGATGACTCCTCATCGCACCTAGGGTACCGAATGTTAGCCCCCTCAGTAGTGCCATCACTGTGGCTAACGCTATTGCCACCGACGCCTACATTCTCCACGCTCAAACATCCAATTTCGTCTTGATCCGAAGTACTCAAAGAAGCTACATTAGTAACAGCAACCGAAGAAACAGCACTACCTATAGTGATTTCACTCTCGTTAGGGTCACGTTTATTATTCACATCAACCATAGTATCCCAAAATAATCCCAATGTGCGTTCAGTCGGAAGTCTCTCAAAGTCAATCTCTTTTAAGGCTTCTGCTCTCTCTTCTGGATGAATTGATTCGAGAACCTGTAAACAGTTACTTATCCACTTGGTAAGTCTGAACTCACCATTTCCGAGGAGTAAACCAACGGCTGTTGCAAGCTCGATTGCATTCTGCACATTATCAATTGAAGTTAAATAGTCGTCGATATACAAACTCTTATCTACAACTTCCTGGACATCTTTATTCAATTCCTTTCCGAATATATCTACCGTCTTCGGAAGAGCAAAATTAGCGGCTAATGCTACGTTGCATAATCTGAATCGTAGTAGTATACCAATTAAACTATTTACAGTATTTAGTCCTCTCAAAAGCTAATCATTAAGAGAACAACCTTGATAGACAGCTGCACAATCAAAAACAATCCTTAATTTTCCAGGCCTTTTAGGCTTGATAACAGGATGATGAAGAATATACCAACAAATAGCATCACGGTCGAATTCCTCCTTACTAGCTTCAATGATGTAGCCTTTACTTAAATGTTTACTCATTACAAGTTGATATTTTTCCAGAAGACTATTATCCTTTGTAGAATTCTTTTTGAATGTTTTGTTTTTTGGAAAATCCCTCCATGTTTACATATTTTTGCTATGACATGATGGACTTTTCTCTTGACATTTTTGGTATTTTATTTGATTCCAATTTGAGATTTTATCATTGTATATTGTTATTCTTTCTATATTTGTACTTATATTGAAGTTTTTGTGTTTGCTTCTGAACTGTACATATATTGTTTAAATTTGATATAATATGGCTACCGCCACACTTTCGGACGGACGCAATGGTTGCTGAACTTAGCTTCACTTATCGGCTATTGTGTTGGATACTCTGCGGAGTAATTTAACCCTGGAAGAAACACAAATTCCAGACGTTTTCTCCTAGAATTTTGCCCTTTTTGATTTGGTCGGGACCCGGAACTAGGAGGAACGTACAGGAGTGTTTCTATAGGAAACAATTGGGACAGCCGCTGTCGAAATAAAAATTTAAAGTCTGGAATTTTCTTCTTTCGTGGATTATACTTTGGAAATATTCATCTGAACACATATATTTTGGAACTATTCGGATTATTAAGAATTATAAAGAAACATTTGGAATTTTAATCGTTTATCACACTAGACTTCCTTGGAGGAAGAAGTTGGATTATTCATCGTAATTTTGCACTGAACTGTGGAATTACTCTATTTTGTATTGTTACCTTTTTTACTGAACTTCACTTATGATGTCAAACAGAAAAAAATCACACATGAGGACGCTGGAAGAGCTCGACGGATCACAGGGCTCTAGGCAAGTCGTTAATGATAACTTTTTTATGGGTAACCCACATGCTATGTATGATATTTATTATTGTAAGTCATCGATAGAAGGTTTAGAACTACCTAAGGTTGAACTCTCATTTTTTGACGGAAGGTCTCGCGACTATTTTAGGTTCATACGACAAATAGAGACGTTTATAGAACCCCGAATAAAGGATGATCAAGTGCGTTTATTGTATTTAATTCATTATTGTAAGGGAAAAGCAAAAAATGCGATTGAAGGCTGTATTATTATGGATCCACAATCAGGATATAAGAGAGCTAAGGCCATTCTAAAACAGCTCTTTGGACAGTCGCATGTAATAGCGCGAGAAACCTTAGAGGACTTATTTAGTACTGGGAATGTAGAACTTAATGATCCTGAATCATTGACGAACTTGGCTATTAAAATGCAGAATGCTGCTTTAACTTTAGAACAGCTCAATAGCACAACGGAACTTAATTCCATGGATACTTTAGAACGAATAGTCAGGCTCTTACCTCGTCGAATGCAAGCCCAGTGGGCAGAGCTAGGAATCAAGTGGGACGAAGAGGAGAGAGAGCCTAGTTTCAATGAATTGACGGAATTTATTATGTCTCGTGCTAAGATAGCTAGTAGTAGGTTTGGAAGATTAGCTTATCAGGCTAAAACAGGAAATAATACGGAATCTACTAGTGGTCTGCGTGCGAGACATTCGGATTTTTCGTTTCTACCTAAAGCACGCTCGGAAGATAAGAGATTTGTCAATTATATCACGAAAGCATACGCTGATGAAGGACGAGTATGTGACCGTAACGATGTAAAGCCTCTTGATGCGTGTCCTAGCAAGAAGCCGGTTGGTGTAACAGATAAGATGGCTTTTCTAAGTGTAGAAAAGAAAGAAAAAGGCGAAAAGTGTAGGCATCAAGATGGATCCGAAGTGTGTGATGATAAAAGCCTCTTAGCTGCTCGAAAAGCCTGGAACGGTTATTTGGATTCGAGTAATCAGAGGTTAATGAGTTCAGCAAATATGAATAAGACCCAGGCAGGATTGACTGAACGGAATAAAGCTTATTTTCGGAACCCTTCAGTTAGGGTAAATTATATAACTGGACCTAGAGTAGATTCTAGGATAAGTGATGATGGTACAGTAACGGCTAAGAAGCCTAGGAGACATGATGCTACTATTACTAAGAAGCCTGAACCTCATGCTCTTTCGGATGCTACGACTAGCCATGGAAATAGTAGCCATCAGAACCTTAGTAGTGACAGTGATAATAAGGAGATAGAAACTGTCAGCAGTCCACCTATAGTGACTAGTTTATCAACTTCATCGAATGAGCCTCCTAGTGTTTCGACGCCATCGGACCTCGTCACGAAGGTTAAGTTGATTGAAGATGCACAAGGTTGTGCAGCTGTAACTGTTCCTATTACGGTTGACTGTCAGTCGAGTGATGATGAGAAGAAAGTGTTTGATGGTAACAGCCAGTCTACAGTGCTGTGTGATGACGATGCTGTTGTTGAGCATATGTCTTGTGCCGCGGAAACGGATGCTAATGCAGAACGGAATCATTTAGACGTTGATAATAAACTGGATGTCACTGATGTGACAAATGAGTTACCGACGATGATGAATACTGTTCAAACCTCCTCTGCATCAGGAGATGGAAGGATAAATATTGATCCTACGTCATGCTACTTAAGGTCTTCTGGAGACGATGAAATGTCAAAATTGGAGATCCCACCCTTGCATATTATTTATGGGTCAAAAACTTCTGTTGATAAGTTAGCATCACGGACTTCATTGTATCTGATGATCGGAGCAAGTGGTGGTGGATTGGCGACTCGTCCCCATGATAGAGAATGTAGTCTTCGGATAGGATATGACCAGTTTTACGATGTGTTGTTCATGTTCGTATGGGTTAATTGGGTAAGGTTTATACTACCGTTAGGTCATTCCACGATAGATAGGGGAATCAAGGGCCTGATGGGAAAGTATAGGCACCTAGTTAACACGATAGGTCATATCCATGTTGGATGGCGGGTAGGCGTACTGCTGTAAGTCCTACACGTTATTCCGGTGTGGATTAGGGGATAACGGGGATCCCTAAATAAAGTGTCATTAACGCTTGCTCTTTTTGCATGGAGGGATTTTGCGGGCCGGTGTAGAATTCTTTTTGAATGTTTTGTTTTTTGGAAAATCCCTCCATGTTTACATATTTTTGCTATGACATGATGGACTTTTCTCTTGACATTTTTGGTATTTTATTTGATTCCAATTTGAGATTTTATCATTGTATATTGTTATTCTTTCTATATTTGTACTTATATTGAAGTTTTTGTGTTTGCTTCTGAACTGTACATATATTGTTTAAATTTGATATAATATGGCTACCGCCACACTTTCGGACGGACGCAATGGTTGCTGAACTTAGCTTCACTTATCGGCTATTGTGTTGGATACTCTGCGGAGTAATTTAACCCTGGAAGAAACACAAATTCCAGACGTTTTCTCCTAGAATTTTGCCCTTTTTGATTTGGTCGGGACCCGGAACTAGGAGGAACGTACAGGAGTGTTTCTATAGGAAACAATTGGGACAGCCACTGTCGAAATAAAAAGCTACATCCTTCATAAACCTCTTCCTTAAACACTCTAGTCTACGTTCAGCTAGTTCCAAATTATTCGGTAGCCTTGGCTTATCATACTTCCAGGGTAGACCAATTTGGAAATGGCCACCCTCCAGTCTAAAGGAACTATTAACTATTTCTAGAGCTCTTTTATCTTCAACAGAATATTCATTACGAAAACCATCTGCATCCTCGAACTCATGATTATATAATCTTTCTATATCTCGCAAAATATCATTAGTAGAACAATGACACCACTGAACTTGATGTAAAGACCTCGATGCTTCTTTAGGACCTAAAATCATCCAACCGAGATGAGTACGCACACCAAACGGATGCGTCCTGTCTCCCAGGCGTTGTTCAAGGACCCAATGTGCATCTGGAGCATCACACCCAATCAATATTCCTACTAGATTACTTTGCAGCCTCGGTAGAGTTATGTCCTTTAAATGTGTTCACTTTCCCAGCTGGAGTTCGGTTAAAGGTTCTGCCGAATCGATCGGAAGTTTCTTGATCGTGTAGGCCTTGTTGATCTTTATAGAACCCCGCTCATCTAATGAAAATACCTCTAAATTTACTTCCAGACATTCACAAGTAGAAGTTCCATTCACAGTCGTCACCTTTATTGAAGTCTCCTTACCTTTGAGACCTAACCGATCAACTAACTCTTCGCATACAATAGAGGTATCTGAACCATTATCTAGAAGAGCGTATGTTTCCAGACATCCTTTGGGGCCATATAGTCTAACCGGAACGATACCCAAACAAACCTTTGAGAATTTCCAATCCTTAGCAAAGTTCACTACATGTTTGTTAGTAGCATCAATATGTAATAACGGATTATGCCGAATCTTACAATTATCAACATCACACCTTGTGTCCGAGTTACACGACTTGGCTATGTGACCCTTCCTTAAACACAGGTAACATAGACCACGCTTTCTCACTTCCTGTCTCCTCTCTGTAACATTCATTTTTGATAACTTCATATAGTCTTTCTCATTGTGATCACCAACACAGTGATCAGTGAACGTAGGAACCTCACAAGAAACGGTGTTGAGAAGATCAAAGCCTCTTCTTTTAGTGTAGCACATTGAATCATGTCCGAGTTCGGAGACGTAACCCTGCTCAGATATTTTAGATCCCATCTTACAGCTATCACACTAATAGACAGAAATTGTCTCGCTGATTAGTTTCTTTCCAGTGATTCAAAGCATTGTGTCTGGATAAATAAAGTTAGTTGTAGAGACAAAGGTTCTAATTGTTTTTGTTATTGAAGCTATGACACCTGGAGGTCGGTTTTTTAAATTAGACTCAAGTTACTTATCCAAAAACTTGAGTTCTAGTTCCCATTATCAATTTCGATCCCGTTTCAACTCAGATTGTGGCCGATTGCTTTTATTTTATGTTCTTGCAGAGTGTCCGGCTCACCTTTCATTTCGTTCCTTTTCTCATACTCCCCCAGCACAAGATACCTTCAGTCTGGACATAAACTTGCCAAAAGCTGAACTTTTCATTCATTTATGAGACAGCCGCCAGCAGCCTTTCCTTTTTATCCTCTTTCGAGCCCGAAAGGTGTGGAATATACTTGTGAAGTATGCTCTAAACCAGCCTACTTACAATGTGGGGTTTGTCGAGTCACATATTATTGGTTTGATCATTATTGCATGAATAAACCATATTTCTAGTGGAATAGAACATCAAAAAGTTGATTGGGTAGGAATTCATGAAAAGATATGTTTGGATTTGATATCGTTTCGAAAACCTGAAGAATTTGTATTATCAAAGGATGGGCGCGAAAAGAAAAATGAAGAACTTCAAAGAAAAAACGTAAGTACACCAACATTACACTTGTAAGACTGTTTGGTGAAAATCATCCATTATTCTTATGATACAAAAAGAAGTAGGTGATTTAAGTACTCATTTAAAACATCTTAGCAGTCGCTTTGGAAATGAAATGCCCTTGTTTCCTTTGCTTTTTACAATTAGGATAACATTTCAGTCTATTAAGATAACGTATGGCTTGTCTATTATGACAATGCTGTTATTAGATCTGAGCGTCGGATCATTTCATGGCTATTTTCCAATTGAGTTCACTCGGTTTATTGTGCATTAAATATTTAGCAATAAAAATAGTAAGTCGGTTAACCTGTATTGATCTTCGCTTTGTATTTTTCAGTCGTGATTCAGTTTCGTAAATGTGTCTACATGCACTGTAAGTGGTTAACCTATAAAACTTAAATTTAATCTACTGCCTTTCTAAGTTTACATTGGGAAAACTTGATTTCGCGTTATTTCTAATTATTTTTCGGTTGGCTATTTTAGCTTTCACTTCTAATGGCATTTCTTCACAGTTTTATCCCATCTTCAACTACTTTTGAACAGCTTGCTTTGAGGATCATTTGAGGTATTTATTTATCAGCCAAAATTATATGTATATTTCGCAAGTCATACGTTTGTAAAAGGTATAAGTAGGTATTTTATTGTGCTATTATACTTCAAATATATTGAAGTATTTTGTCTTAAATTCCTATTGATATTCAAAACATGATTTACTGACTCGAAATTTCCATGTTATTTAATTTATGTAGCTTGATATGGTCCAGCTCACGCACATGGAGGGTCAGAAACTTTTGTTTCAAGGCAAATCAGAGGAAGCTGTACCAGCAGCATTACAGTGTTTGAGGTTTACAGTACGTGCGTACGGGACGGCTAGCATTGAGTTAGTATCACCGTATCTGATTCTTGCAGAATCAAGTATTGGTAAATGATTAAATTGTTAGTCAAATACTTTCCTTAAAAACATAAACGACTGTCGTGCAATAAATTTTCAAATATTTAAGTTTTCGACGGGTAATTTCTTATTAAAATTCTAGTATTTTTTGATATTCGCCAATCAGATGGTTGCACAATTCACCTTTCATTTTGATACAGTCAATAAATTACTGGTAGTCTTAGATACTCTTTCATGCTAATCTATAGCAATTTATTTGTTCTTCGATTTGCTTTCAGCAATCAAACCGAGACTATGGCTGTAGAGGTCTGCTTTTATTTCTTCTAAGATTGGTGGTGCTCCGTACACAAATAGAGTAAGAATTTGTACTCAACCGCCCCACTCTCCATAGGTAAACAGTCTTATTAACAAGTACTAAAGCAAAAACCTACATTCGATGATTAGAAAAATACTTAGTTAAGACTTTGGATTTTTGTAGCCGCAGAACCCATATTTTTTTCGGTCATATTCCAAAGTTATCAAAAGAACAAGCTGTAAGTATATATATATATATATATATATATATATATATATATAACTGATGTGTTGACGCTATCTACATAAACCCTTTAATTTTCACGCCCATGGAAATGATATCCCTTAACACAACCACATGAGTCAAAATACGTAGCTTTCACCGAAAGTATGTGCTTGTTTATCACTCCATACGATCATACGATGCCCTAGTGCTTCTTGATGATAAATTTAAAATATGTTCATCCCATAAACATAGATGTTTTGTTTGTTCTTCCAGTCTCGTTTTATTGGTTATCAGTTGTTCACCTCTTATGCATGTGCGCGTTCTAGTCCTCGTTCTATTTTCGATCCTCAATCACAGACGCTACCTTGAGGTGGAGGTCGAGCTTGTCTGTTGTAATGAACAAACCGATCACTATTAGCAGTTTCTTTAGATTCTATCACACCAAGCAAGTCGATTGGGGAACGTTCAGAATAAAAGCAGCAAATCAAAGTCTAAAGGCAAAATCGCACTGCTCGCCGTCGGTCAGTCAGCTACGACATAGAATTTCGTACGTACGTACATCAGTTCAAGTGGCCATACCACATTAGCACAGAGAAGCAGTTGTCAATTCAAATCCCATAGTGGTAGATATAGTGAAAGTATTAGTGGTAATGGAAAAGATTAAGGTTCGAAGATATCAATCGAGGAGTATACTGCAGTGAAACAAAAACAGAAAGATAAAGGCGAAGAGGAATTTAGAAGATTAGAATTCGAGAGAACACAAAGAGTGGATGCATCTACGCCATTGCAAACGATTTTGAGCCATGTCATTCAAGATGTTTAACCATCGGTTACTATCACCTCACGGATCTCAACCAGGTAGTCTATACATACCAACATGGCTCAATCCAGTTGTCAATGACTTCGTGGATTTCTGCCATGATTGGTCTGACTGCCCCTAGCTTTTTTCCAGCCTACTCCTACACCACAAAACATAGCTCATCGAGGCAGTCGGTGGTTGCCCATTCGTAACACATGTCCCAATCACATCAACTGATGAACTTTCATCACCACAACTAATGATCTACCATCCCTAACTAATACGCTTTTACTCCAACCGAACTAGTTCAAGACATTTAGGTGGATGTATTCACTAGTAGTAAACACCCCGTCAGGTTCAAGAACGAAGGCCTTCGTTTTGACGCCCCACAATAGTAGTATTTACCGACCTTAAAGCAGCATTCAATCATGAGGCTCTGTGTCAGTGTCTGTCGTTAAAAGGTGTACCAAAAAAGTATATCAACCTTATACAGGCTCTCTACTCGAAAACTACCGGTCAAATGAGAGCTTATGTCGAACTGTCATCGGAATTAGTTACTTCAAGTGGTGTCCGTCAGGGCTATTCACTCTCTCTATCCTTGTTTAACTTTGTTGTAGACATGCTTTTAGAATTATCATTATCTTCGTCTGGATTTTCAGGAGTGGACCTTCTACCAGGGAAATCGCTTACTGACCTAGAATATACCGATGACATCGTTCTATTCGGTGAAGACGCTGACGAAATACAGAGTCTTCTGACTACTGTAAGCAACAATGCAAGCATGTTCGGGATGCAGTTCTCTCCCTCGAAATGCAAAATGTTGCTTCAAGATTGGGTTGCATCGGCATCTGAACTAGTGATAGGGAGTGAAGTAGTCGAGCGTGTTGACCGCTTCAATTATCTCGGTAGTCTCATCAATGCCGATGATCCGGTGTTCGACGAAATCTCAGCACGGATACAGAAGGCTCGATTAGCTTTTGCTCACCTTCTTCATTTATGGCGTAGGTGAGATATCCGTCTAACAAGCAAAGGATGCGTTTACTGCACATCCGTTCGCTCTGTCCTACTTTATGGCTGCGAAACATGGCCAGTAAGAGTAGAAGATAATCGTAGGTTACTAGTATTCGATCATGGATGTTTTCGGAGCTTTGCTCGTGTATACTGGGACAACCGAGAAGGCGATGCTGCTTTCAGTAAAAGCGTGTTAGTTAGGGATGGTAGATCATACGAAATTCTATGTTGTGGCTGACTGTCTATCATAGATCTCTTTTTTCTGAAGAAATTCGAGGAACTAATGAATAACTAATCCGGTGATTGCAAACCCCTAATATCTGATAGTTTATATGCAGGTTGTTTGATCACTGTTTTTTTGATGTAGGTCTTGGGATACTAAATGAAGCTGAGGCTTACTTAGCACAAGCTCAATGGATAGTACTTAAAGCAAAAAATGGATGCTCAAATGGTATACAATCACAGTTAAATCGTAAGCTTGCTTTGTTATATGCTGCTAAAGGTAATTTTGAACTAGCATTGGAAAGTTTGGCAAAAGACGTGAGTGTACCAGGCTCTTTATTCTTTCTTTAGATTGTTAAATGCTTCAATAATGTTACATATATATATATATATATATATATATATATATATTTATATATATATGTACCTACTTACTTATTTACGCCTGTTACCCCCAATGGAGCATAGGCTGCCCACCAGTTTTCTCCAACCAACTCCATCCCGGGCTTCATTTTCCAGTTCATACCAGTTTTTGTTCATTTTTCTCATCTCTCTCAATATCTCAGTGTACTGTGTTCTTTGACCCTTCTCTTTTCCTTTTACGTTGAGCGTTTCAAGAAAGGGCTTGTTTTGTGGCGCAGTTGGGTGCTTTTCGCAGTGTGTGTCCTATCCACTTCCACCGCTTCCTGATTTCCTCCTTCACTGTAATCTGGTTTGTTCTCTCCCATAGTGGGTTGTTGCTGATTGTGTCTGGCCAACAAATCCGCACTAACCTGTGTAGACAACTGTTAATAAACACATGTATCTTCTGGATGATGGCTTTCGTAGTTCTCCAAGTTTCCGCTCCATACAGTAGAATTGTCTTGACATTCGTATTGAAAATCCTGATTTTGGTGTTGACTGATATTTGTTTGGAGTTCCAGATATTTTTCAATTGTAGAAATGCAGCCCTTGCCTTGCCGATCCGCTCCCTCACATCTGCAATCGAATCCACCTTGATTGTCGATGATGCTGCCCAGATATGTAAAGGTGTTAACATCGTCCAAGGCGTGTCCATCAAGAGTGATTTGGTTGGCGCAGAATCTTGCTCTTTCCCTTGTGAATACTGAGACTTACTGACAAACAGGCCGTCTTCAATTGCATGTGTTGCTGTGTGTACGATAGAAGAGCCAGATCATCTGCGAAGTCCATATCGTCTAGCTACATCCGAGCTGTCCATTGTATTCCTTGCTTCCTCCAGATGTTGACGTCTTGAATACCCAGTCAGCCACAAAGACAAGTGTAAAGGGTGAGAGGAAGCAACCTTGTCTGACATCGGTCTTCACTTCGAACGAGTCTGTCAGCTGTCCTCCGTGCACGATTCTGCAGTTTAATCCATCGTGAGAATTCCGGATAGTGTGACTGTCAGATGCTTTCTCGTAGTCAGTGAAGTTGATGTAGGGTGTTGAGTTCCATTCAATTGATTGTTCTACAATGGTCCGTAATGTTGCAATTTGGTCGGCACACGATCGATCCTTTCGAAATCCAGCCTGTTGATCTCGAAGTTGGGTGTCTACGAAGTCCTTCATTCTGTTTAGCAACACCTTGTTGAAGACTTTACCTGATATTGAGAGAAGAGTGATGCCTCTGTAGTTCTCGCACTTGTTGAGATCGCCTTTCTTTGGTATTTTGATGAGGTATCCCTCTTTCCAGTCTGATGGTACTTGTTCCTCATAGCAAATCTTGCTGAACAGAATGTGAGATATTTTTTCAGTTGCCTCCACGTCTGCTTTCATTGCCTCTGCTGGAATGTTGTCTGGTCCTGCTGCTTTGTCGCTCTCGATTTGTCTGAGGGACATGTTGAACTTTATCATTGATAGTAGCCTGACATCAATCGGAGTGTTAGTAGGTGCTGCTTCGTTGTTCGGTGGGTTCAGTCGGGCTTGTAAATTCGAGACTCCTTTAAAGTGTTCTGCCCACCTGTTTCGCTGTTCGTCAATGTTGCTGATTACTTTGCCTTCTTTGCGTTTCACTGGTCGTTCTGGTTTATAATAATTTCCAGTAAGCTTCTTAGTTGTATCGTATAATTGTCTTATGTTTCCTCTCTTGCAGTCTTTTCCACCGTCATTGCTAGATGTTCCACATATTTTCGTTTGTCGGCTCTGATGCTCCTCTTCACTTGCTTGTTTGCTCCTGTGTTTTCACCTAGTGCCCCGGCCTTCTCTATTCTATTTCGGCTGCTGTTGATTACTGCCTTCTTGTCCCTCCTTTTTTGTATCTTATCCAGAGTACCAACAGGGACCCATTACTTATGATGGTACTTCTGTGGTATGCGCTACTTATAAGTAGTATATAACGCGAGTGTAAACGTAATGTCTGGCAGCAGAAGATGGGGGAAGATCAAGAAAGGAAGAGTGGGAACACAATGCAATTTGTATGAAACGCATGAATAGTGAAATGTCAGACAATGGATTGATGCTGAATTGAAGATTTGCAAATTAACGGTTACGATATGGTTTTCCTATTTTACTGAGTAACTCTGTAATTTTCGTCAAATACAATTCGGTTGCCCTCACCTGTGTTCTCCTTCACTACACTTCTTGTGGCCCAGAACCTCATAACATGTTGAAGTAATTGCCTCCCTGATCCCATTCCAATTGTTCTCTACGGTTGTTTCCTTTCCATTGAGTATATCATGCAAGGCCTGGAATCTATTGGTGAGGGCTATCTTGAATTTGTTGAGTTTTACGGTATCCCGAAGAAAGGCCGTATTAAATTTTTGTGATGTTGTCCGCCCAATTGTCCAGTGTTTTTTGAGTTTCACTTGCATTTTGGCGACCAGCAAGTGGCGATCTGAGGCTATATCAGCTCTTCTCTTGGTTCTCACATCCTCCATGGTCCTTGTGAATTTATTATTGATACATATATGGTCGATTTGGTTCTGAGTGGTGTGATCTGGTGAAATCCATGTAGATTTGTGTATGCGTTTGTGTAGAAATATTGTGCCGCCAATGACCAGTTTGTTGAAGGCACATAGGTTTTCAAATCTCTCACCGTGTTAGTTCCTTTCTCCCAGTCCATGTCGTCCCATGATGTCTTCATATCCAGTGTCGTCCATGCCAACCTTGGCACTTTGGCTTCCCATCAGGATGGGGGAGTTCTTTGGCGGAGGTTTCTCGAGGATTAACTGCAGCCTCTCACGGAATTGATCTTTAACGTCTTTATTGTAGTCATCGGTAGGTGCATAGCATTGGATGACGTTCATTGCAATGTCCTCTTTCTTTGTTTTGAAGGATGCTTTAATGACCCTGTGCCCATGAGGTTCCCATCCTATTAATGCCGTTTGTGCTTGTTTGCACAGCATCAGTGCAACTCCTTGTGCGTGTGAGGAATTTTCCTCTTCATGACCAGAGTATAACAGCAGTTCTCTTGAAGCTAGTCTCAGTTGTCCTACCTGTGCCCAATGCGTTTCACTGATTCCATTCATCTCTGGTTTGTATCATTTCATTTCTGCAGCAACTTGAAATGGTCTTCCGGTCTCCCACAATGTTCGAACGTTCCATGTAGCTAAAAGTATGGTTGCTCTGGTTTTGAGAAGGGGCATTGGCCTTGTGACTTCTGAGGGAACTCGGCTTTCATCGTGAGACGTCAATACTATTCTGAAAGAAGACCTTCTAACTTTCAGATCAGAGTTAAATTGCTCTGAATTATTTGTTTTGGTCAGCGTTTTTTGCGAGTTAGTTTTTTTGGTGCATGGGGTTGAGGACCCCATCAGTAGCTGCGAAGGGTCTACAGGAGGAGTTTAATTTATATATATTCTTCATTTTAAACTTAGATGACAAGATATTAAGCATTAGAATTAGAATAATCAAGTGAATGGATGATCAGAATAAAAGTTTAAAATGTTAAAAGTACTATGCTAGTCAAGTGGACATACGGCATGTTATCTACAATAATCTTTGTCAGTAAACTATTCATTTTAAAGAATGAAACATCAAAGCCTTCAGTAAGTATTTTCGACAATTTTCGATTCCAAACTTAGAGAGAAGAAACCTTATGATACAATGAAACCCTAGTTATTGATCTCACCAAGATTTACACATTACAAATAGTAGTAAATTATTCTGAAATACTATCTAAATTTGCTTCAATGATTCGCACTTCAGTATGATTATATCTGTGTTTTGTGCCTGCAACTTTACTTAGTACTTACTCATTTTTTCACTTCCGTGTTTCAAATTATTCTATCTTATTTTCAGATATTTTATGCATCCCTCGAATATGGCACTGATCATATTCGTACAGCTGGTGGTTATTTTCAGATGGCTGAAGTGTTTCATACAATGAGCAAACTCAGTGGCAATAAAGATTTCCTTAATCAAAACTCTCAAGAAAATTCAATCAACTTGGTCTTCCCTTCGGTTACGCCGGAATTTCACAAAAGAAATAGACAAAAAAACTCTTACGACCCATTGATTTGTGAAGGAGAACCAAAATGGAATGCCAGTTTTTCAACAAACTGCATTCAACCGCACTTATCACAACTTCAAGTGACTGAAAACCTGTATGCACGTGTAGTAGACATATGGGCTAAACATTTAAGTGAGTTAGTAGAAAGCCTGTTATTCAAACCTGTAATCTCCGAAAGCATAGATGCAGTTGTGACCGAAATCACTCAAGAAACCAAAAGCTACATAGGTAATAACATGTTCAACGGTACCTTAGTTTTAATGTTGAAACTTAATGCTTTCAGTAATGTAAATTTTATGATTTATTGTACAGAGAGCTTGTCAAGAATTTGCGAAGTTGCTATCCTTGGTTGTTGGAGTATTTTATATGTCTGTGTTGTATTTTGATTATAACATGGTGGCGAATCTGATAAATTACTCGTAAATTATTCAAAAGTTTAGTTAGGTTAATATCACATGGTATTAAAAGTACGAACTTTACTATTGTGACCATTTCAACCTGATGATCTGCCTGTAAATAAAACTGACAACTGGTCATTTCCCAATGGAAAAAGCGTTCCGTATTTGTTCTCTTAAGTGTTTCCATCAAACTATATTCTTCTGGAAGATTTATGCACTTTGTGCTTCTATTTTTTCGTGTTATTGTTCTATATTTTTTGACTTAAGTCCTTAGGTGTGTAGTGTTCATAATAGAATCAGAGTCTGATCCAGAATTATACTTCTTAGAGTTTTTTTAACACCGAGACTTGACGGTTCTCCACGATGATTAATGTGTAGAAAGGCAGGGTGAAATGGTCAGTACAAAAATCTTCAAAGATGGGTCGTCTCGAAGAAAAAAAGAAACCTGACCCATGCTCTCAGCACAAAGGCTAGACGAATATGTAATGAAGACACGATTGACAGCAAACTTGAAAAACTATGGCAAATACTGACTGAGTCAGTCAGTCAGCTACGACATAGAATTTCGTACGTGCGTACATCAGTTCAAGTGGCCATACCACATTAGCACAGAGAAGCAGTTGTCAATTCAAATCCCATAGTGGTAGATATAGTGAAAGTATTAGTGGTAATGGAAAAGATTAAGGTTCGAAGATATCAATCGAGGAATATACTGCAGTGAAACAAAAACAGAAAGATAAAGGCGAAGAGGAATTTAGAAGATTAGAATTCGAGAGAACACAAAGAGTGGATGCATCTACGCCATTGCAAACGATTTTGAGCCATGTCATTCAAGATGTTTAACCATCGGTTACTATCACCTCACGGATCTCAACCAGGTAGTCTATACATACCAACATGGCTCAATCCAGTTGTCAATGACTTCGTGGATTTCTGCCATGATTGGTCTGACTGCCCCTAGCTTTTTTCCAGCCTACTCCTACACCACAAAACATAGCTCATCGAGGCAGTCGGTGGTTGCCCATTCGTAACACATGTCCCAATCACATCAACTGATGAACTTTCATCACCAAAACTAATGATCTACCATCCCTAACTAACACGCTTTTACTGAAAGCAGCATTGCCTTCTCGGTTGTCCCAGGATACACGAGCAAAGCTCCGAAAACATCCATGATCGAATACTAGTAACCTACGATTATCTTCTACTCTTACTGGCCATGTTTCGCAGCCATAAAGTAGGACAGAGCGAACGGATGTGCAGTAAACGCATCCTTTGCTTGTTAGACGGATATCTCACCTACGCCATAAATGAAGAAGGTGAGCAAAAGCTAATCGAGCCTTCTGTATCCGTGCTGAGATTTCGTCGCACACCGGATCATCAGCACTGATGATACTACCGAGATAAGTGAAAAGGTTAACACGCGCAACTGCTCCACTCCCTATCACTAGTTCAGGTGCCGATGCAACCCAATCTTGAAGCAACATTTTGCATTTCGAGGGAGAGAACTGCATCCCGAACATGCTTGCATTGTTGCTTACAGTAGTCAGAAGACTCTGTATTTCGTCAGCGTCTTCACCGAATAGAACGATGTCATCGGTATATTCTAGGTCAGTAAGCGATTTCCCTGGTAGAAGGTTCACTCCTGAAAATCCAGACGAAGATAATGATAATTCTAAAAGCATGTCTACAACAAAGTTAAACAAGGATAGAGAGAGTGAATAGCCCTGACGGACACCACTTGAAGTAACTAATTCCGATGACAGTTCGACATAAGCTCTCATTTGACCGGTAGTTTTCGAGTAGAGAGCCTGTATAAGGTTGATGTACTTTTTTGGTACACCTTTTAACGACAGACACTGACACAGAGCCTCATGATTGAATGCTGCTTTAAGGTCGGTAAATACTACTATTGTGGGGCGTTTGAATTATGACAGTTTTATCTCCAAAAGGATATCAACAATAAAGTTGAATAGGAGTGAAGAAGATGGTATGACAAAGAGCTGGTTCTTCACTCCTCGCATGTCATGTATTCGCGTTTTGTAAGCGAATCATGTAGCAATGTGCTGATTTTCCTAAATCCTCGCTGATGAAGCCGGTTGTTTTGTTTGAAATAATATCCGTACTTTAACAGCTCCAGTATGTAGTTCGGAACAGGGTTTTGAAAGACCAGGATTAACGTTTTGTAAACGCAAATTTTTCGCATTAGTGGCTCGAGGTGATAAGTGAATGTGAGAACGGTTGGTTGTGGAGATAGAAAGTTGGCAAGTGGTATGGGAAGGATTTGATTGTGATCAATTTTGTCTCATACTCAGGGCGGATGTTACTTCCCGCCTGTCCACTCCTTGATGGTGTCCATTCAGGAACCTAAAGAGGAAATCAGATTAACATTGGTCTTAGCGCCTTAGCAAATACTGATTAACAATTGACACGCACGTAGTCTCAATAACAGAAATCTCAATCTGTAACAACAACTTTAGAGAGAGACATTAGCACCAAAAAAGATTCGTCTTAAAAATATTCAGTTCAATGGAAATACTGCAGCAGAAAGTTCGGACTAGACTTTTGAGTGAAATTACTCAGCCGAACTTTGCCTTATCTTTTCTAGTCGGCCTCGGATTCGTAGTTGTGTGATGAATAATTTGCGACTTTTCTAGCCTAATCATTATGTATTTACAAGTTTATTTAATAATGTGTAGCATGTTGTATTGGCTATGCAAAGCAAGCCTTTTCGACACTCGTCTTCGAACATTTCCCAGCGTGGCTTTCTAAAGGATTGCAGAAGTCAGTCACAAGCTCAATTTCGGAACACCTAGTCATTTCTGACCACTCTTCTTCACTACGAGCCTCCTTTTTATTTGTACATACAATTGGAAAAGTTGGCCCAGAAGGAACGCAAATAAAGAACCTATGTACAATTTGTTACCCAAAAAGTTAATTGAAATTCGCTTAAATTACTCTAAATTTTTCAGTCATGATAGGCATCCAGTCCCATATTTTACGTGTGTTTGACAGTGTTATATTACTTCAAGATCTTTCAATTGGAAATAAGATTTAAAATGAAACTGCTGACATAATATAAACGGGATTGATTTTAAACCATCATTTGTTGTCGTCAGTACATCATTACTTTTGCCTTATGAATGTGATACTGAAGTATTTGAAAGTTAATTGGTTACGCCTCATTATCGTTCTTTTACTTCTGAAACCCCATAAATTGTCAGTTTTAATTTTGAAGCATGAATTTCTTGTACGAGCTTGTTATACATTAACCTTGACCATAAAATTATGAATTTACCATACTACAGATAGATCCTATCACTAATGTATATTACTTTGCAGATTGTAATCTTTGCTAACTAGATCATTTTTCAGTTAGACGTTTTTACTTATTCAATGCTGATTTTGTTAAAAAGGCTAGGGGAATTTCAAATTATGAAGGAAATCTATTCGGATGACGGAAAAAGTTTATAATAGTTCAGAGAGTGAGTGAATTCGTGTTGTTGACGAATTCACTTACTGAAACTGCAGTTGTGTTTATAGTTGTTTAGCACGGATAAGTCTGCCATAAAATAGAATGATATTAGATTTTATAGAAAGATGGTCGAAAATGATTCCTAGTGCCAAGACAAGTTACACAATAGTAGTACGAAACAGTAAAGTGAAGATAGATCATCCATACACAACCGATAATTAACGATTCGATAAATAATATTTAAAATGAACAATGGAAAAAAAATGAAGTAATTACTTTAACTGTATGTTTTTGTTTGCTGTAAGGGCAAAGTGAGGGATTGCAAAGATCAAACAGGGAATAAGGTGATTACTGGAGCTTCTGTTGTCGATGAGTCAATGGTCAAATTTCCTTTATAGCAGCTGAATTGCTGTATTTTTTTTTGAAGTAATCTTGAAAGCTACTTCCAATGAAACCATTTAACCTCAGTTAACTAGATGTTTAAGACGAGGATCGATTGACCATGACATTTTTTTTATTATTGTATCTTTCTTTTCGAATCAACAAAATATGATGGCTATAACTAACAGATGATGCACAAAAAGCTGAAGCTGAGAAAATGTTGTATGCAATCGAAAAATATCGCCATCAATGTATCAGTGAAAATGAATCCAGTGCAATTACTTGTAATCCAGTTAAACCGGATCCGAAAATTCATTTGTATTTGACTTTGTCAATGCTAAACTATGTTTTAGAAAGAAAAGAAAAAGTAAGTATATAACAGTCTAAAAAAGAATCAGATTTTAGTACAGTTTATAAAAATAAGTATTCGTATTTGCATATTGCCCTCGGTTGTATATCAAGATTTGTTATAGGAATTTTCACTCTAAATTCGTAGAAAGTTTTTAGAAAAGTTTGACATAGGTTTGTTTGGTATTTGTTAACGATATCCTAGTCAGCTCGATCTAAGAGATTGTAGACTAGTAATTTCACTTGAATTAATCAGTAACTCCAGTCTTCTACTGTCATCATCCCTGAGAAACGCGAATCCCTTGGTAAATCCTTCTTAGATATTCAAGGTGGTATGTTTTAGTCAATTTACACAACTACCTTCTGAGTAGTAGTGAGATTAGATAATTTCGCAATGGAACACATGAGCAAAAGTAAATGTTAGCCAAAATGAACATGAGTTTTTCTACTTTAATTATGGAATTAATTTATGCACTAGAAAATAGCTTAGAAATGTGATGGCCTGACCAAATAGACAAAAGCCTAAAAAGTAGAGTATCAAAATGAGGATTAGATTTCAATGGAGAAAAAGACTGACACATTCGTTGCTTTAGATGTGGATTTGTATAATTTTAGCAAATTTGGGAACAGAGTTTAATTTTTCCCTAGTCAACTTACCAGATTCATGCTTGATGTGTGTGAAAATAGCACCACTGAAACTCCTCAATTCTTTTAAATGAAGGCTTACTGGAACTCGGTAATGCGATTTTAGAGATGATGTATGTAAATCGCCTTATATGATCCTTATGATCATTATGTTTAGGCAAAGGGACTAGATTGTAAACAAGCAAACTTTCATTGATATTTTCTGTATACGAATAGACTTGAAACTTGATAGGGCATTATCAGAAAAATGTAGTTACTTAGAACCTGCTGTTCAATCATAAAAGATATTTAAAACAGAATTCTGTTCACTTTTGATGGAACATTGTGGACCGAAAGCTTGGAACCATTACCAAACCTGGAGTTGTACCGAAAAAACAAGAATCGAGCGCAAAGAAATTAATTGGCTTATACTAGTTCGTGAAAAAGATATTGGACATTGAATAGATCACAATTATTATACCGAAGATATATATAGTTACTGAAGAAGAGGTATCTTAACAAAAGTAGCTCAGCGTCGAAGTGGAACGTCAAAGTATTTATAAAGCATCCAAACTAAGGACTTTTAAGGGATATCTTCAAAATTCTACTAAACATACGATTGAAAAGATCTTTATAAATTAATTTGGCAAAATAAAATGCTATCGCTCAATTTTTGCACTACTATTGTGTTTATTATTGTCTTCTCGCATTTTATTTCTTTATTTTTGCAAGTCTTTACAATATTTGACTGAGGCTAAAGTTGCAGCCGAATTTATTGTACAACATCCGAAAATTACTGCAAGTATTAATTTGATGGAACGTGCCTTATATGAGAAAAAATAATTCAAACGAATTTCACCAATAGTGATTTCCAACGTATTTGTTGTTGTTTCTTTTAAGTACAAAAATTTAAAAATGTGAATTTATCCATCTCTTCACAATTAGATTTCATAGCAAATAAAATAATGTTATCATCATTGTGATTTCATTCCATTCTTTCCTAAACTAAATAAAATCAATAAATGAAGTGGTTTAAACATGGGAAATATTGGCGAAACAAAATACTACCTTATAAGATGAGTGCTTTCAGATTATATAAATTATTATTAATACATGTCCAAACAGACCGTTCGTTAGTCAAGATTATATTAATTTACGGCCAACAGTATAACAGTTAGTGTTTATAGCGGTATGAATAACATTTAAAATTGTCTATTCAAATGTGTACATTGTTATTTTCCGTAGCTGCTACCTTGACGTGCTGGTTAGGCTTGACTATCGTGATGACCTAGCTTAGCTATACTGGCTGGAACATATGTTCCTGAAGGTTCTACCATGCCAGGCAGGTCGATTGGAGAACGATGTGAGTAAAAGCAGCTACCCAAGGTCTGAGGACGAAGTCGTCTGCTGACTGCAGAGAGGTGTGACAGCAGTAAGGTGTTTCCCTCGGACAACCAGCATCTGCAGCGATGCTGCCTTCTTACAAGGAAGGAAGGGTTAGAAAAGGTCGGCCCTAAAAATGTCACACCTCACCCTACCTCACGGATTTCCGTCTCCTTGGGTAAGGGTGCCCACTAAGGGCCTTTAAGAACGGAGCTAATCCTCTAAATACCTTTCATAAAAAGGCCGTGCGTGACCGGCCTCAAGCAGTTGTCCCTTGGTCTCTACGGTCACGCTCCCAGGTCTCTAAGAGCAACGTTAGTCTATCTTCGTTTGCAGGTTCCTCAAGAAACAACCTTCCATGGTGTGGGCAGCCGGGAAGTCACAACCGCCCTCATATTCGTAACAGCACACGAGACCAAATCGGTCAAAATCAAATTCTCCGTTATCATTTCTGTAATGTGTGGATATTCTTATTATTAAAATTATGGAAGATAAATACGAAGAAAAACTGATGATATTTGTTTAAGATTGTACACTTAAAGCTAACATGATATTAATTATTGATATGACTTTGGTAATATTTTAAAGCGTCATTATAGAAACATAAAGGATTTCCAAATAAAACTTTAAGAACTGATTCACACTTGCTCACGGATATTTACTATATTTCGTATGTAATTAAAATTATTTTAAAAAGAAGAACAATTATTAGTAAAGCAGAAACCACTCATTTGTCACGTATTGTCACAATCTGTCCGAAAGTAAGGATAAATCACGTGTGTGACAGAGCTGAATTCGCAATGTTCCTTGTCAGATCAGCAAAATTTTGAGACGAGTTTCATTATGCTTGTTTATTCCTCTTCTTCTCCGTACGAGTTTTTATTTATCCGAACTAGTTCATGTGTTTTTTGAGGTTAGGATCTTACGAACAAAGCATCTACTGAATGAATGTATTTTGGAGAATTTATTTTTAAGCGTACATGCTTTCTAAAAAGAATGAAAATTTGAAGCCTTAGTTTATACAGCTTACAATTTATTGACAGGAGATAAAGGTCTACAGAAAGATATAAGGCATGTGAAAAATTTCACCAGTTAAACTGGAAATTGAACAATCTAACAAAGGAATAGGCATTCCTCTCTCATGTCTAGGCAGAAAAGAAAGAATAGTTCAGAAAAGTTCAGTTGACAGTATTGTGAGGAACAAGACTTTGAAGTTACGGATGTAGTACATACCATATACCGTGAAGCTGTTCAATGATAATAACAGGTCATACTGAACACACACGATTCAATTCCAAATAACATGCAAACTGTAATGGAAAAAGCTAAACATGAACATGACTAGTAACTTATTGATCGTAATTAATATAACGGGTGAGTCCGTATCTTTTGGAATACTAAAAAGCAATACTACTATTATGATTTACCTTTGATGAAAAGCCATTATTGAATCGGTTCATAAAAGCAACAATAACAGATGTAACTCTTTCAACTAATTTGATCAGAGTTGCGAATTCCTAATCTGTCCACTGATGAAGCTCATATCACTTGTCCTGGTAAGGCGTTCCAATCTGATCACGCTATGTGAAAAACGAAATCGCACCCTGAGTTTCTGTAGTCGCAGTTTTTTCAACCTTTTCTCAGTGGCTTTGGAGGCAACTGAAAAGGACAGAAAGGTAAGTCATTAACTCCAAAATCGTTAATGAAGATATAGAATGGCAAAATAAGCTCACTCAGCGTCATACGATAAAGTAAGGTGAGAAGTTCGATGCACTTCCGAAATTCACACTAAAAAGATTCATGATAGGTCGACAAGGTCAAATACCAGAAGCATTGCCTCCACCGCAGCAACCTGCGAGTCCCCATGTCGATTCATAGACGGTAATCTGAGAGCGTACGAGTTGACCGTGAGCTGAACGGGGATGTTACGGACTCGCATACGGCTTTAAACTTATTTCATTCATACTCTATCGACCCGTCTACATTGACCGACCGAACTGTTGAGATAGCACAGTCTCTGGTTGACGAGATGTTAGCCCGCCAGATATTGGGGCGGATAAATCTTAATCCGAAGCCTAAAGTACAGTCCTACACCGTCGCTCTCGTTAAAACGGGCAGGTATTGAGTGTCGATAACATCATCACTGCGGTAAGTAAAAGCAAGGTTTGGTAGTAATGGCCCATGTTTCAAGTCAATATGTGTCCTTTTTGTGATACATTGTAGAAGTGTACATTGAATAATAGTTTACAGAGAGCTGACATCGAATCATACACCTGAAGTTGTAAGCTCTGTCCAATGACTGTATGGCGTGCTGAAATCTCCAACGATGAGACAAGAAACGGCCTTACTCCAAGTAAAAATATGACGTTGGATAAAGTTGTCACCAAGCTAAACCGTGTCCAGACTTCATTACACAAGAAACAACTTCACATGTAACACAATCACGCGCTTCTGATGTGCTGGGTTGTATACTAAAATGATCTCTAAGATGATAAAATCCACCTCTTCTCTTATCATGTATAACACTAACACCTCCGATACATATGTATCCTGCAAAGATCGGAGAACGGTCCATATTGATGATGAACCACTCGTCTGTGATAACTGTTATGTTAAGACTTAATTCGTCTGTCATCAAACTTGGCTCAAACGGTTTAATGGCCCGGAATCTGACTCGAATTTGAACAAAAGATTTCATATTTTATAAAATAAATCTTTCCTTTAATTTCTGCATATCATTCACAAGATAACTCCGTTTGTGTGACGGTGGTGACTAAAATGCAAATGCGATTTCGTGAATGGGTTTACTTCTTAAATTTTTGTAGGCGGAAAGAAAGTAACGAAGCGTTAAAACGATGTAAACGATATAGCTAGTAAAGTAGGCACTTCACAAATGCATTTTCCGCCTCATTTTTACGCTTTTGTTTACTTTCCGTCTGTTTACACGAATATATGAAAAACATTCACACACAAAACCGCATTGGAATTTCGATTACCGTTGTCGAATAAACACGGTTCGCCCAAACTTTTTATAGGAAAATTGAACGAAAACGTTCTTCATAGTATTTTCACTTGTTTGTCTGAACTGGAATCAGATCTCGGACCACCATAGTGGTGAGCCTAATGTGACTAACAATAGTGATAATTATAATGAGGTAGTCTGCGAAATAGATTGATGAGATGAGTAGATACATGAACAAAAACGTTTTATTCCTAAAACTACGAACGTTTGTGTAGCACACAAATAAGGTGCTTTGAGAATCACCCGTTTCGCCCAAAGAAGCCTTGAAAGCACTAGTTGTTAAGGGCTGACTATCCGACAACTCTAGATCCTAGGGTTTGTTTCACCGGATTTATCTCAAGTTTTCTAAACAATAAGAGCACTATTCCACTCAATTCCAATATCTAATCCAATATTGTATCACAAGATAGCGTAAAGCGATTTATTTCTTTGCGCTCGATTCTTCTCCTTTCGATGGAGTTCGAGGTATTTATTACTCTCCAATGAATGGTAGTCTAGTCTCTCGAATGACCTAGTTCCAGTCGGTTGTTGGTGAGTTTGGATGTCCATTGACTTGAATAAGTACGTTTGTCTCAGGCCAGGAGAGTTTATGCATACCAGCAGCTATCACGTTACCAGACCGAAGATCAGTTAAGTGTAGTGTGGAAACTAATCAGGAGAAAATTCTACTGTTGACAAGAAGAAGATTTCAGAACTACGTAAATAAATGAATAAATAAGTTAGTCAGTTGGTAGCGAAAACTGTACTGGAGGACCGAAGTGTAAGTTAGAGAAAGGAAACAGAGATAATAAGCGAGTTAGTGATCTGAGGAAATGTAAATAACAATAATAACCAGCAAGTCTGAAGACAAGTATCAGGCACAGGCTTTCCACGATGGAGATAATATTCCGAAGCAACATACGCGAATAATGGAAACAATAAAATAATCCAAGGTTTGAAGTAGCGGATTGATCTTTTAAATTTGTCGAAAACAAGTCACAACTTTCAAATTGTTTCACTGAAATGTTCAGTGTTTGAAACACTTAAACAAATGTTATATCAGGAAATCGCATCCAAAAGTCATTCGAGCTGATTTTCTGACTTAGGAAATAATAATCTGTCATTCAGTTCTGAGCTAAACGCCACATGTTCCAGTATATAAACTACGAGGATACCCAGTTCAAAAAATCCAGAAATCTCAGATTTTTTTACCTAGTAGAAGATGAGGTTAGCTACTGTCTACTTTTGCTTTAGCGTTTGTATTCTACGTCAAGTTCTTTCAAAAACTGTAAAAGCTTATGAAGGACAGGATATTTCTCTTACTTGCAATCTACATCTAATCAACGGGCATCAGTTGTATTGGACAATAAGAGACGAAACTAGAATTGGCATTGATAATCGTCTGGACCTTTGGAACATCCAGAAAGATGATGAGGGTATATATAAATGTTTTTACGCAAATACAAGGGGTGGATCTGAATCAATAGTAGTCAGAGTTTTTAATGGTGAGTCAAACTTTATTTCATTACTACTGGCATGTAGCTTCCTTTCTGTTTATCTTCGACCATGTTTTATTGCCTTCAGAGTATTCATGTTATCTGCAGCCTATTTTGAATCTAGTAAAATATGTTAAACTTACAAACCTTTGAAGCATAATAACGAGTGATCTTCAAAACAACTGCAAACTACTGGATAGATTTACTTTTATTGTCGAGAGACCGGATTATTGGTGACATGCTTAGAGATGGTATTTCCATTAACAGTGTGATGGATAAGCTTGTCTATAGTGTCTATCTAAACATTTTTTCTGTTCTAATTGCTCAGTCAGACAAAACGATAATTCATAGATTGTCTCTCAAATCTAGACTGATAAATCGCACTTTCTGAAAAAAAACAGGTGATATTCCTAGGAACATAAACTGGCGTTCCTGTTTCAAAAGATTTCAGTTTATTTCAGTTCGTATAACTGAAATGATGAAAATAAAACCGTAATCGAGAAACCTCTATGCCTACCACGACTAAATCAGAGAAGCCTAGTAGGAATGTGAATCATTCTAACCGGTGAAAGGTTGGAGAACTGAAAGCAACATTCTTTCTTACATAACATCTTTCGGTGCGTATAACTGGAATAAGGACTGAGACTGTTATTCGATCCTCTGATCATTCAATAAATGTAGGTACTTGAGATAGTTGTAACTTTTGTCGTTATTATGTATTCCAGTCTTCACCTAAATCTGAATAATAACTGTTCGCGAAATAAAAAGTTTGATAGACGAATAACAACACAAAGTTTGTAGTTCGCTGTCATTCATTTCAATAAATAGAACTGCAAAAAAGTAGTTCCAGTTGAAACCATTGTCTTACTTTTTACCATTCTTTCAACATCACATTCGTTTTCAAAACAGAGTGAAAGGTCGCATAATGATGTGTAGTAATAGTTGTTATAAATAGTTTAAAATCAGTTGTAATGTTCAGTTAGCTTTATTTCAGCTTAAGTTTATCAGAGATGTATCCAAATAATCAAATTCATCCACAACTAGAGACTTTCTAACCAACGTTTTACGGTACATGCTTTTAGAAATGTGATGGATAGACAAAGTCACATTTTGCTGATTTAGGTGTTTCAGAATTTCATAACTTAAATTATTTATGGATTCAGACGAGTTAGTGTTTAATAGTACTAAAATTCAGATGCCAATGTTTCTCGGTCTGTGAATCAGTTTTAGGAGGGAAATGTCATCATTATAAAGGGCGTAATAATAATTAAATTAGAATTTTTATGAAGATAGCCAGCAAACTATTTCTAAGTCTGTTAACAACTCATATTATTTTGGATGCTGAAAAACCAAAATGCTTCATCTAATGAAGGGTGGTTTAGCCTGATGTACCATGGAAAAATGAACTAGAAATGTACTGTAAGATTGAGACTGTGAGACTAAAAGCAGGTTGTGAAATGATTAAATCAACGTTACTTTAGAGTTCTATGCAGAAGTCATACCAATGACTTGAAAGAAGAGCCGAAATTCACTTTCTGATTTATTGTTTTAATGCCTTCATTTGTCTGAATTTGTGTCATGTATAATTTTTTATGCTATTACTGAAAGTATGCCAAGAGATAGTGAACGTTTCCGGAGTTAAGTATTGTTGTGAACCAATGCCAATGTATTGTCTAGTTTACTCCTCTTGCGTTCAATTAACTGAGTATTTTATTTTATAGCGTTTGAAAAAATGTTTTGTTTTGTAATAATCTAATTATTTTGAGTCAACTGGCTCAACCAAAAGTACATTCCATACGTATCGTTTAAAAATAACACTGATTGGATTTAAGAAGCAGAATAGATTTTGCATCTGAACATTTATAAAGAAATTAGTATTTTTCATGTGAAATATTCTCTTAGTTTAATCAACAATGAAGCTGATATTTTGTTCCAGAAATAAGATTTTAACTTATGTCAGTTTATTCAGTATATTAAACAGCAGGTAAATTATATGAAGCTAAATACAATAATCTCATTTCTCAGTGATAAGAACAACAATAAGTGAATTTTAGTTTACTTTCCAACACTGATCAGTTAACTGATTGTATTCTGTGACTTCACATTATTACGTTGCCATGTACTCATGAAAGTATTGATGCCATACTTTCTAGTATCTCAGTATTCATGTTTCTTAAACGTAAATTAATTTATTACTGGTATCCTTCTTTCACCTCTTGATTATTTTGAACCTATTCTAGATATTCGAAATTTCTAGTCATTTCATGATATAATCTTTGCTAACTTTCTATAAACTCATATTTCTCAACACAACTATCAATAAGAATGTACAGCCTAAGTTAATAAATTCATGGAAAAGAAAATTTTCTTCTCTAGATTCTCACTATTTTAATTGCGTCAATGGCACGATAATTTTATACCTACCATTGAGTTTTAATGTATGGTGTGCCATATAAAATATTCAAGGTTGTTCGATTTTGTGAGTTAGTGTTAAAGTATCAATTATTTATTTAGCCTTGTTTTCCGTATTTACATTAGTATCCAATCATATGTGTCACAGGAATTCTTGTTTTTCACTGAAGCGGCTTGGCATTTTATCCATTATTCATCTTCAGAAGTAATGTGAAGTAAGTTAATCGCATTTGGGTTATCAGACGTGATAGAGTGATCGAAAAATATATATAGTCAACTGTTAACCATTTGTGAGACTTATTCTTCTACAACATATATATGTATATATATTCATACATATACCTGCGTTTAATTTTTTCGAAGTTTCTTTAGAAATCGCTTGTGTTACTGCCTTGACGTTTTTGTTAAATAAATTTACCATATAAAAGAATTTCACTGTGTCACTGAATCTTTTTGATCGATAAACACTGTATTTTTTAATATCGAAACTGTATCTAAATGTTTTTTCAGAAAGCCTTTATATGTGACTGAGTGTCCCATAACACTGTTACTGTCTAGCTGGTTTAGTAAACAAAGTTTGAAACCTCTGAAATGGAAAAATGAAAGCAATTCAACAGAGAAAATTTTCTTTCCAACCTCTGAATAACTGGTAACCAAGATGACATGATCATCACACTCATAATCAAATACTCAAATCCTTCTGAACTTAGCTGTTTTAAATACAATTACCAAGAACTCTCAACAGATTTATGGGAGTTTATAAACATAGTTTATTTTGCATCTTTATAAGTGTGAATTTCGATAATCTTATAATTATTGCTAATTTCATCACCTTGATTTCTGTTTTCATTTAGTCGACAATAAGATAACTAAAAATGTGACTGAAGGCACTTCAGCTGACATTTCTTGTAACACAGACAATATTAAAATACCTAGTGAAGATAGTTCATTACTGTATAGATGGATAAATCCGATCGGTGAACAAATTGGATATGAACGTAATTTTCAGCTACCAAGTATGAAAGCTAGTGAATCAGGCATATATGTTTGCCTTGTGGCATCCAAAGATAACAAAAGGAAATTAATTCCAAGCTCAGCTACAGAAATAAATGTCATTCCAAGTAGGTTTCCGATTTTGTTGTTATTATTCTATATGGTAACACTATTGAATGATAATCATGATTGACAGTTGTACTGCATCGTGAGATGCTAATGAGTATCATGTGCTGAATTCATCTACCGGAATCTCAGAGAAGAATTGTTCTCCTATCATGAATGTCATTAAGGCTTTTTAGTCTCGATCATTTATACGTCCTGACAGGCGCAATTAACGTGGGGTTAATGCGAGCGACATCACTACTGGTCAGCTATATACGAACCTTTCCCTATCACCACCCTTGAATCCGAAGAGAAGCCAGCAACCAAGATTTTAATATTAATAATAACAATAATGACTATTACAGAGTTACTCAGTAAAATTGGAAAACCATATCGTAAATCGTTCATTTGCAAAATAACAGTTCATCATATCGAACTGGACTGTTCCCGTTGCAAAACATCAATCCATTGTCATTATTCATGCGTTTCATACAAATTCCTCTGTTTTTTAACTCTTCCTTTCTTGATCTTCCCCCATCTTCGGCTGCCAGACATTACGTTGACGCTCACGTCATATACTACTTATAAGTAGCTCGCACCACATTAGTATTATTTAATAATGATCCAGCACAGTTAGACAGCACAAACAGCCAATATCTATTTCAAACACTCATTAACTTCCGTAAACGAATTGTCAGAATGCACGGCATATCAAATAATAAATTATACTTGAAATGCAATAATGCCAGAAATGACAGAGAGCGAAGAGAATAGTATATGCTTGATTAGCTATAATTGGAAACTACTGAAACGTATATCAATAGTTAATAGGTTCTCATAAGCTTAGAAGAGGGAGAATATAGAAATACAAAAGTACAGTTATCTGCTAATTATTCAATGAATATATAAATAATAATGTAGAAGATGAGTTTGTAGGTATCATTACCAAAGTTTATTTTACGAAGAAGTGGTTTAGATATAGTCACATTGCATCAGAGAATGCTTTAACTTTTCTGCTCATTAGGACTCTACAAATTTATTATTTTTACTCTTAATTCGAAAAATGGTTTTAAAAGTTCTAGTTTCACCAATACTCATCCCACTGTGTGTGAAATTATTTTTAGAATACGTTCATTCAAGTTGAGTCATAAGAGAAAGACTTCAGTATAGTAATCTAGACATTATATCTGAATTCTTTATATTTTATACATTTTGCATAAACAGTATAACGATTGACTTGTTCCGTCTTAAGCATGTTTTCGTACTAGACAATGAACATGTGATAAGCATTATTAGAGGAAATACCACAAATAAATCTATCCTGAGAGATACTCAATTTTAGTGTCTATATGGTTTAGATGTGTTGTCACTTAAAGTACCACACTATGATAAGATTGTGTGTCGATTGCATTAAATCAAAGTTAATTCATAAAATAAATATTTTGATTGATGGAACTGATTCATATCAAAATCTTCAATCATGATACATTTTAGAAAAGTGTGAAATTAGACTGATACATTAAATCAAGTGCTGTTGATTTGGATGAGTTGAAGAAAAATGCAAACATATAATGAACACTATAAAATAAGCTCGACTATCAAAAGCGTACAAATAAAGTGAAGCATTATGAAGGTTTTTACCATTTGAAATTGCAAAAACAGTGGTAGAACTTTTATTTATTTTTCCCCAAAACAGAATTTATTTCACTGATATTCTACACAAATATTGTTGAGTGACATACAGCATTGACTTGAAAACAGAAATCTTTTGGAAGTGATAGTCAAATCAACTCGTTTTATTGAATATATAGACATTATAAGGAGTCGGTGTTTGTTTTGAGACTTTAGTACACACATTTTAAAAGACTTTACGTAGATTTTAATTGGTGTTGAAACAAGTGTAATTGAAAAGTATCAATTAAATGAACTTATATGTTATCTCTTTTCCGAATGTATTCAAAAATAAACTAACTTCAATGGAGTTGTTTTAGTCATATAAGGTAAACCCCTATTACACCTATTAAAGTCTTTAACGAATCTAACAACTTACATAGTAAATAGTCAATCAAACGTTAGTTTTGAACTTCAGTTCATACGTGAGTATTAACCTCAAGTCGGATTTGAAACTAATCAAAGCAGTGATCACAAATTATGCACATCTGTGATGTCTGCCACAGTTATGGAACGAATTCTGTAATCTTTTTTCACTGAAAATAACCCATATTGGTAATTGTTATTCCTCTGTAAATCATCTTCATCATAATTTCAATATTATTTTATGTTTACGTTTTAACTTTTTAATCTAACTACTTTTTATCACGAAGGAGAAATAATTCGTTTGGAACCAGGACGTATTCAAACAAAGCCGTATAAAGCATTTACATTCCAGTGTTATACTTCAAAATCAGATCTCGAACCAACTGTCAGATTTCAAGATCTTAGAATAATAGATTCAGATCCACGCTTTCACCTAATATCCGTACGGCCAGGTATTATTCAAGTGGAAGTGAATCATGGACTGACAGAAAGGGATGACGACACGAGCCTATCGTAAGTTTATAAATCCTGAACTGGCTTTTATAATCCATTCACTGAATATCAGGGATCGTAGACGGCAGTTTCTTCCTAGTGGAAGACTCTTCAAATGGAGCATATAAGATTCCACCAGGATTCGTACCCAAAACCTTCAGGACTGTGACTCCACAACTTTAATGGTTGACAGACAAAGTCAGTCAATGATATATACAATATACGATACCTGCTACACCAGCATGTATATAGCAGGTTTTTGAAATAGCCCGAATTAATCCTAAGACTGCACCTGTCTTCACTCTTGAAAATATTCTAATGAGAAAGGTCATATCAGAAGGTAATCTGACCTGGTACATGAATTACGTTCGTCTACAACACGATATGATGGTAATGAACATTGGACAAGCGCACGTTAATATTTTCTTCTTCTAATAATTTAATCCGATATGAATGTGATTTATTCAGTGTATATAAATGGAGTACTTCATGTAACTGATTACTGGGTAACGAAATGAGATTTGGTTGAATGAATAATTTCAACTTGTACATATCACTTTGTTAATTTATAACATAAATTGTAACATAGATTCGTTTTGATCACTGATTTTATCAGAGGAAATGAATAGTAGAATCTTAAACACTAAAGTAATTAATCGGTTAAGCACTTTAACATTCACATACCGTATTCACATTGATTTCGATAATAAATGATGACTTAAAAAATATATATGACCATGAGATATAGAGTAATTTGATCAGTATTTGTATCACTAAATATTTTATAGATGTATGTTATTCAATAGACAACAATCCAATTACATGAAAATTTCAGTTGAACGATCTTGCCCTGACGGTCAATTGGTATGTGCAGATGGAACTTGTCTTTCAAAAAATGTTTTTTGTGATGGTAAGGTCGACTGTCTTGATGGTTCAGATGAGAAGTTACCACACTGCAGTAAGTATGGTCGAGAAATTACTAACTGTTTTGTACTCTTAATTCTTATTAGCGAAATTTAGATTTGTTCATTTTTTCTCAGAATTCTGCTGATATACTCCGTTGGAATGCAGTTGATAGGTCGGTATAAGAAGGACCGTTCACGTTTTCACTAGCCCGGCATAACATTTTGTGACATTAGCTTATTCGTAGAGCAATATTTAGACATTGATTTTGTTCTTATAGCAACATTTTATTCAGTTCGACATTGGTTTAATATTTTCCAGTTTAATATTATTTCAAGACAATGTGTCCATACCAATTAAGTGACAACTTCGTTCAGTATGACAGGTGATAATTATGTCCAGTTTGACAGTGGTATTGTTTGTATTGTTTTGTATGATCTTCGTATGTGTTTTAAGATGACTCTCTTTTATAGTATATCTATCAACTAATCTTTAGGTTTATTAGGTCGGTATGTAAATGAGAATGAATTTGGACGACTTAGTTCTAGATCGTATCAGCAAACCTTCGCTGTACCAATCTTTGTACTGTCACTTTGCATCTTGGCAGTTACAGTGATTTCTAGTTGTCAAATATAGGCGGTAAGATCGTAGGCAAACCATGTTGGTAAGTACATAAAAAGACTTAATATGGATAGAACTGTAGCAGTAAACAAATACATGAAATATGCAGTTTTCTAAGTCTTCAACATTGATGCCTGCCTTGTTAGTCTTACTGGATACACTTCTAACTCAAGACAGACGGTCAAGCGTCCGCACTAGATCACTTCGAGATGTGCCGAGATGCGTGTTCTATGGGGTGTCCGATGCGTGCCAACCCCCAAAATTGACCATTTGAACTAGAAAGTCAAATCAGGAGAGAAAGCCTGATCAGCTACCGAGTCCTATTCACAAATACTCATGTAACTATATATATTCCACCTCCCTGGAAAAGTAAACTATTTATTGACCAGTGACATGTGTTTATCCTCAACGATATTTCCTAATGGTCATCAAATGGTCTTCTCATTAGACCACCTCTGATTGGCTCACTTTGTCAGATGGTTTAGTCGTGAAGCTCTTATTATCGTTCTGAGTTTCATCAGACACTTATTCATGTGGAATTCAGCTTTCAGAGCGAAGTGTTTCCATATGTCTTCGGATCTCCGTTAATTGTTTAGTCCAGTTGACCTCAAATTAAACGACTTGTTTACCTTGTCCGTTGTAAATAATAAACAGCATTTATATCTAGGGGCTTATTGTTCACTGATTCACTGGAAAGCCGTTCTTTTAGAAACATTATGGAACCCTTTAAATTTCTCCCGATTTGCAAACATGACATTTTCACAACTTAATTTGCATGTGTAGTTGGCTGCAGGGATTCACATAAATGAAAACATACCCTTCTTCACACTCTTAGTTTGTATTCGTGTATAAATAGGTGGAAAGGTAACCATTACATTTCTCCTACTTGATACAGTTAATTTTATCATGTTTATCTATCTATCACTGTTGCACCTATCGGTGTCCATAGAATAGAATAAAGTGATTATTTTGTCAAGTGAGTGACAGAGACTACATTTATGTAATGGGCTTCCTCAACTTTTCATGTAATGAGGGTTCCATGGTGAGGTTTACATCTTCTGAATAATATCTGAACAAAATTCTTTTTGTACTCTGGTGAGTTGTTGCTGTTGTAGTTTTGTTTTTGATCTGTTTGCATTTGCTTCCTGTATATGTGTGTTTCCAACGTCTATGGTTACAGTTTATGAATCATGACACGTAAAAATGGAATTTAATAATTTGATTCATTTTTTCTAGCATGTTTTAATGTCATGCAAGACTTTGTTGATTAGCTGATCAATATTTACGAGTTTTTATCTCTTGAGCAATCACTTGATAGATCTAAAATATCAGTCCAGTAAATAGTAGAAAAGATCAACTAGTCAGATAGTCAGAGGTCAACCGAACAAGAAGGGTAATTCGAGTACAAGGAAAAATGAAGAGTTGATCAATTATGTGAAGTTGTTTATTTGGAAACAGATTACTGAGAACATACTGAATCAGTGTTTGTGCAATGATCAGACAGCTGGTTGTTTACACGAAATAGGCTTTGATGAAATCGACTAGAACGATAACGCAAGCTCCAATAACTTAGCTATCCAGCATAAATAATGCAATACGATCAAGAGCTATTATGTCGTAACATGGACTTGCCGAAAGTAAATATTTTCCATTGCATACGTCAGAATCTATCATGATGTTCTTAGTGTAAATAAAAAAAACATATGATTTTTAAATTTTAATAAACATAGGTGATCGTCATTCAAAAGCTATGGCATGCAAATCTGTAGGAAACATACCACCTCGTGAAGCAACCTTTGAATTCCACTGGAAGTGTGATGGTGAAGATGATTGTGGGAATAAATTTGATGAGACAAATTGTCAGAAAAGTAAGCACCTATTAAAATAATGAAAATCAGAAATAAAAATTTCTCTTTAGTAACTTTAGTTCATTTTAACATTGACATGATAGCAAATATGAAGTTTCTGTTTTTAAAATATTACTTTTCACTATGTAAATTTTCATTTGTAATTTCTTAGCAAAACAATGACATTAATTTTTAACCTAGGTGCTAAAGATAAAAGTTAGATTGGTGTATTTGATGCAAGAGAGAACAGTGTAGCGAAATCAACAAAATTTCCCATTTCCTCATTAGCTACTTACAACCTAAATAAATGATAAATGATATTATCGATGAGAAAACAGCTTACATAATTTATGTAATAGTATCGGGAAAGTTCTTACCAAGGAAGATTAATCAAAGGTGTATTAAGTATAAGTGAACAATAAGAAATATTTACGTTAATTATGTGAATATTGATCGGTTGATTATATACAAATGATCAAGAATAAATACTAAGAGCTTAGTAATAGAATTATTGTGAAGTGACACATCAGTGTTATTGTTACATATAACAAATATAACAAAACTAACTATCGGAGTAAAAATGAAGAAAGAAGCGAGTATTAATAATTATTGTCATGAAAGGAATTTAACAATAAAAGTCTATGGATTAGGTCATCACACAAAGCATGAACGATAATTGAGTCTTTTTGGTTGTATTCATTTGATTTCAAAATTTTGATGATAATTACATCCGTTGATCGTTGTAGTCGAAGCTTATGTGGAATGTACTTGGAAATACAGATACTAAAGTTTCTATTCTCCCTATGTTATGTGCTTTGACACTTACACGTAAACTGACAGACACAGTTGGAGGTCGAATAAATCAGGAATTAGTTCACCTATGAATATCTTACCCTGGCTATTCAATCTGAAATCGATCTTTTCAGCTGTTTCGTTGTCCTCGCAGCTGATTCTCAAGAGAATAGGTTTCTTCTCATCCATAACATACTTTATTTACTTCGCTTTGGTGATTGATTCTTCATTATCGTTATGATAGAATTTTTCATCGTTTTCATTTTCTGAATATAATTTTCTGACGTGATTAAAATCCATTAAAACCAAATCTCTTTCTTAGCTTTTTGGACAGAAGCTATTGAAATTTAAGTATGCTTCCCTCCGTTTGTTCTTTCGATAGAAATACCTATCGGAATGATCATTTGTGTTATACTTCATTACTAACATCTAGAAAAAGGAAACACATTTTAATATTCATGTTTCATCGTTAATTCATTATTCTGGTATTAAATGCTAACACCTTGGCCACTCTGTATACTCACATGTCAATGTAAATATTTTACTCGAAGTTGTATAACAAATTTCATTTGTAGTGTGAAACAATAGAGGGTTTAAGATAAAAAAAAATAATCATTATCAATCCTTTTTGAATTGATTGTAGGAAAGTGCTTCGCATTTTTAGACTTATTTTCTACAAAATATGATATATTTAAAAATATAATTATCTACTGCTTAACTGAAAAACGTTCATTTCTTATTTCTTTGTAATTTACTTTCTATTATTCATCATAAAGTTGGGAGATGTAACAATGATGAATTCCATTGTTATCAGTCAAATAAAAATATACCATACGGACAATGGTGTGATGATTCAGATGATTGTGAAAATGGTGAAGATGAATTTGGTTGTGGTGAGAAAAAACAATGAAAATTTTCTCTTTTGTTATTCACTTTTCACTCTGAAGTAATAAATAAATTAGAACAGCTAATTGGCCAATTAACTTACTGACATTGCAGACACTGGATTCAATACGTTAGATACATGTTACACAATATCAGAACACAGTCTGAACTAGTTGGTAGGAGATGTGAGGATTACAGCTGAGAATGTAAAAAAAAAATTTAAATTGTATTTGAATTTCACTAAGCCAATACAATTAATTATGTAGTCATTTAACAAAAGATTCTCTAATCTTTTAAGTTTGAAAATGACTAACACACAAATAATTATTTCTAAAGGAAACTATACTGAATTTATCTTGAGAATTACAAATGAGTTGTTCATATGGACTGAATGAAAGGGGCTTTTCAAGCATTATTTACAAAAATAATATATTTTGAATGTGTATAATGGTGAAATGAATGTAAACTACCAGTGTGATAGAAATTCTTGTGGAATACAAAATCAAACAGTTAACATATTCTCCATTCTGCAGCTGCATTCAATACAAAAGCAGGCTTGTCAATGAGTAAGAATAAGCTGTTTTAGGAATAGGACATATCTGTTTAGCCGTTTGGAATACTCGTTTCGATTCATTTAATATAACCGTGATCCTTATGTGTCAGTATATTTTTTCAACAGTTTGAAAATATATTTATGATATATCTTTGTTAAACAAATCAAAACAGTAGAATAAGTTGGATGTCCTGTTTTCTTAATAACTTCATTCGAATAACACTATTTTTTACAAACACCATATTCTTGTACATATGGTTAGCACTCTTAACAGTCACAAAATTTGTTACAGGTAGAGTAGTGAAATTGCTCATTAAAAAACAGTTTTCCCTAATTCCACTAAATCAGAAAATGATATTTGGCTAAAAATGTATTGTATCACTGAAGCTATTTGTAAAGCTTGCATTGATTTAATGATCGATCCAATATTGATCGATATCAGATAGAGAAGAAGCGGAAATAGCACAACTTAAGATTACTTTTATATGAATGTGATTTTTGCAATGAATTGCTTATATTTCAATTTCATTTCAGACGCACCTGTCATAATCAGCCCTCAACATCCAAATGTGCATACAGTTCGTCAAGGTGGAGATTTGAGTTTAGGGTGTGAAGTATCTGGTGTTCCAAATCCTGTGGTTGTCTGGCGTTTCAATAAGCGACTTCTTGTTGATGACATGCGAGTGACTTCGGATATTGTACAATGTTCAGCTGAAAGTCCGATATCAACAAGTTATCTTTCAATCCAAAATTTTACGCCAGATGACATAGGTATCTACAATTGTGAAGCAGTGAATTCCAAAGGATCAGTCATGTCGCAAGATTTCAAAGTGACTTTATCTGCTTAGTTATTTGTTGAACTTTCAGTTGATAATATATTTGTTGGATTCTAAAAATATGTTTTTACTATTCACATTTATCAATGTGATGTAATGATCTAAACAATTGATCAAAACTGTCACATAACATGATTTAAGGAATTCGTATCATAGTGTTTACATGGCTATAGGAGAAGAATGTTTAGTCACGATGGTTTACGTATTCACAGTGAAATTCAATGGTAGGCACAAAAATTCATTCACACAAAAGATAAATGAAGCTAGTACAAGAGAGATAAAATTAATTCACTACAATTTAAAAAGCTACAAGTCATCAAATCACATGATTTGACATTAAAATGAATGTTAGGAACATAGGCGATGAGAACGCCGTTCAAGGGAACATGATATAATATCCATATTATTCGTCGCAATTAAAGGCAATGCATTTTATAATACAAGAACTTTTTTGCCCGACAGCGACAAGGCTAGACAAGGTCAAAGTTATCACTGAATTAAGTGATAACTTAGAAACTAAAACAAAAAATAATTATTGAATCTTCATCAACAATATGTTGATGTATTAATTAAGTGAGATTCTTGCAAGACTTTTATTTTGACAATGACGAAAGCACTCCTGTCCATGTTGCTAGATTTAATTGAAAATGGTTGACGGTACTGTCTTATTATGAAGTAAGATAAATGTGACATTCGTTGTTGAATAACTTTTGAAAGTTTGAAGGGTACGCAGTTTGTGTATCCTGTAAGTGCGGAGCAATCACATCTACAAACAACTTTCTCCTTTTCTGATATACTTCTTGTGAAAAGAAACTGAATTTTAGCAACATCCAGATAAGTATCGAGTAGTAAGTAGAAGTTACTCTTTGACGAACTCAATATTTTCACTTGTTCAGAATGAGTATCGATGAAAAAACAAGGTCAATCAGTGTACCCAATGTCTCAAATTGCATCACGATTGCCTTGTGTATGTTTACCAGTTCACATGTACTTACTACAGCACATAAATTGGAAGAGCAGAGAGGAAGGTTTTTCTCCACATCTCCGTTATTGATGTACATGTTTTTAGTGATATATCCCTGAGCCATTGGGCCATTTATTTTTCGACTGAACACATTTTGCAATAAACGTTATTGTTTAAGATCTGTTTGAACTGAACTGCTACAAATGATGTGTGTTTGCCCATGTGGTATTGCAAATGGCTTAAAACTTATCATGATGCTAAGTACTAGACAAACGGAACCACTGCACTTGTTGAAATGTTCTCCTCATTTTATATCTTTTCGGAACAAGCACGTTCAGTAACTGAAGTAATAAAAACAACTAACTGTACCATCTGCAGTTAGAGCAATATTCTGAAACTGAAAACGTACTGCAGCTGTATATTACTAACACCATTACAAGCACTTGTGAATGGTTCATGCTTCGTTTATTTATAAAACGTAGGCGATTACTAACGTGGTATTTAGTTCCGGAGGAACTAACCTTGTTGCTAGCTACTGATAGAAAAATGTCAGTCTAAGGGACTATGAGAAGAAGCTCAATGAAGATTTGTGGCAAGTCGACCGCGAGTAGAACTTACATCCTTCATAAAGTACTTATTTCATTTGTCTACAGAAGAGACCCATGCAAGTAGCTGATCGTTTGTAAAGGGTTAAACGGACCATTTTAGTTTGCAGCATTTCAGAGTGAATTTGAGGAAATCAAAAGCGAAGGACTATTGAAACTGATTATGGATGACGCTAGACTATCCAGTGTTTTCCGGATTATATTGCCAGTCCGTTTAACATTGTTTAGGATTTGTTGAACTGTAATATTTAACACTCACATCCTAACCATAAATGAAAGGTAGATTTGAACATAACTGAACAAGTGTTTAGAACAAGAGTCTTTTGGATCCGCTATCTTAGATGGTTAGCTTTCCAAATACTTCCCCGAAGAATCTCAGACTCGATTGCCAGTTGGAAGCTAATATTAATTTGAATTACGGTATTAAATTATAGGCAGATATGGACAGTGGCTAATAGTATGATCATGAAAATGAGTTTTATTTTATGTAAAGCTCATCGGATGGATTTACCTTTTACTCCTAACGAATCATAGGCCACCGACTAGCGTTCTGCAACCAGTTAAATAATAGTGAAGAAAAGCACTCCAAATATACTTAAATAACTTATTTCGAATTTCTTAGAAAAAGCTACCTTAATAGTAGAATCGAAAGTATATTAAGATTTTAAAGCAAGTATTTATGAATTCAATCTGCTGAAGTAAGATATTTGTCTTCAATATTAAATTATAAGCAGATTTGGACGGTGGCTAACAGTGTAATCATGGATATGCATTTTGTCTTTAGTGGAACTCATCGGCTGAATTTACTTGTACCTCAGATTCGATGTTCACCTCGAAACCCGAACACTATGCCGTTTGCATCAAACACCATCGCGTTGTTCAATTCACCATTAAGTCCAGATACCCATCAACTTTTGCAAAGGGGTACACAGGATACACAAATCCTGAGTGAGACTGATCATTTGCAGACTTAAACATCAATGGAAAGATTCATTATACCAATAAACTCATTCAATGAGAACATGATAAAGTGCTCAGTATTGTAGATAGTCTGATAATGTTTATTGATATTTTGTTTGCATGAAAATATCGTCTTTACTAAAAAAGTAACCTTAATAAAGCTACACTGAATAAAATAGATTTTCGAAACTGATAGCATCCATATTTCCTCCTATTCACATTTTATTATTATTCAGTGCATAAACAATAAGCACACTGAGGTAATCAGCTGCATTTTATCGATGCTGTTAACAATGAATAAAACTAGGTACCATTTAGAAGTCATAGTGTGGTGCGCGCTACTTATGAGTAGTATATGACGCGAGTGTAAACGTAATGTCTGGCAGCAGAAGATGGGGGAAGATAAAGAAAGGAAGAGTGGGAACACAATGCAATTTGTATGAAACGCATGAATAGTGAAATGTCAGACAATGGATTGATGATGGATTGAAGATTTGCAAATTAACGGTTACGATATGGTTTTCCTATTTTACTGAGTAACTCTGTAATTTTCGTTAAATACAATTTGGTTTTCCTCACCTTTGTTCTCCTTCACTACAATAGTTTTAAGTGTATCTTAATCTTAGTTCATCAGTCAGTCTGATGTTACCAGATATCTATGCATGAAATTAATGAAATCATTTTTAAACTTAGACAATAAAAAGAAAATCTACCATTTATCTAGTTTACTCAATATACATATGCATTTGTAAATGTTTCACTGATGCTGTTAATCAATGTACTTAAAGTTTTGTAAATGATATACTAAAAGTTTTTTTTAACTCTTTATATAATCATTTTATTTAAAATTTTAGAATAATTTATAACTAGAGAATCAGAGTTTCAAAATGCAATGTATTTGTAGAATGATTTAAAAATAAACTATTGTGAAATTTAGAATATTGCTATTTTGACACGAAGAATTAAAATAAAGATTTGAAAAATATATAATATTAGTAATTATAGTATAACTATGTGTATAAGTCAATATTCTATAATATCAAGTAGAAACGAAAACATAACTAAGGAGACAGAAGAACAAATATATCCTGGGACATTGCTCTTTCTTTTGAAGTCACTGCTTCACAATTGTAAATTCCATCGTCACCTTCTCTGAAATTTTCAATAGTTAGTCGACTCTTTGAACCTTTACATCCGAGCGTACTTGGCACAGCTTGGGTTCGCATTCTTGCTTCATCACGAAGACATCTCCAATTAAAACGCCAAATAATCATAGGTGGTGGAACGCCGGATGCCTCACACTCTAAAATCAGTCTACCACCGGGACGAACTCTGTGAGTTTCCTGACGCTGAGTTTGAATTATTGTAGGTGGGGCTTGAAAAACGAGTTAAAACAATAGCAATCAACGTTAAAAACTATCTTTATCTTTATTCAAAGTGTACATAATTTTAAACAGACAAAAGGTTGGCTACAACACTCACGAGCATCATGCACTTGATAAAAATCACAACAACTGGTGTTCATTCTATAAACCTTAGTTACAGCTTTAAACGTCTTAAAATTTATTCACCATTCCCCCACCCCCTCAGAACAATAAAAGTTACACAACCAAAACATCCAGCTCAGAGAACCAAACACCACCACCACAATCATCCACCTGAGCTACAAATCTTCTCCACCATCTCGAAATCAATATAATTATTAGTAAATATTTTTGTGACTATGTAGGACCTTCTGTAACGAGGTTAATGAAAGAGAGTATAACCACTGGCTATTTTTCATTGCTAATTTCATTGATATAATACTCCCTTAAGATATGCAGATTGTAAAAATGTTGTAAATACTGTATATGGAAGCGATAACATTGCACGTCACTTTTATCTACCTAATACTTCATCCCCAAATATATAAGCTCTTTCATCTGTGGATTGTTGTCACAATGCGATTTCCAGTTATTAATTACATAAGTAAAATTAAAGTTTATTGAGTAATTTACATTTAGATTAATTTACAAAGTTTAATAATCTTTCCTCATAGTTTAAAACATATACTAACTATACTGTTGTTAGACCAGTAATTAAGAATTATTTTAATTAATATGATTGACACAAGTCCAAGTTAAAGTATGCTTATATCTTCATTCAAATTTACAGGTTATAAAAACATATTTAAATAATTATATTACCTAAATACTTTTATTAAGAGTTTTATGAAACAGAAACTCCAGAGTGATAATTAGTTAGAGAATTCTTTTAAAAGCAAATGTTAAAAAGATATAGTGTTCTTAACTAGTGAAACAGTTAATTAGTGCCATCTATAAAATTGTCTTTGTTCTGGTTAGCGTTTTTTTCTAAAGTTGGTTGTGCAACAACTAATAGAATGGAACTCACCACTCTACATCTACTTACTTGACTGGGCGTTAAAGCCTTCGATAACGTGGACAGAATGACACTTTGGAGGCTTAGTCGACACTAAGGTGTACCTGAGAAGATAATCAAGAATATCGGGAATTCCTCTGATGGACTAGACTACAAATTTGTGCATAGACGGCAGCTCTTAGACTCGTTTCAAGTTAAAGCCGGTATCAAACATGGTTGCTTACTCTCACCCTTTACATTTGTCCTTCTGTTTGACTGGAGGACAGCTTGGATGCAGGGAGACAATCTGGCTGTCGTGGATAACTTACTTCTTCTATCCCACATAAAGTAACAAATTCGGAAGAAGGTGGCCTGTGTATCAGCAACCTCAGCAGCAGTAAGCTTCAACATACACAAGGGAAATAGTAAGATTCTTAGATACAACACAGCATGCACCTACCAAGTCACACTTGATGCAGAAGCTTTGAAAGATGCGGAACCCTTTATACACCTGACTCAGATTTAAAGAAACAAACTGACAAACAACGGCAGCATTTCTTCACTTGAAGAACATCTGGAACTGCAAACAGCTGTCAACCGACACCAGAATCACACTTTTCAATACAAACGTCAAAACAGTTCTATTCTATGGACCGAAACTACAAAAAATATTATACAAAAGATGCAAGAGTTTGTTAACAGATGTCTACCCAAGTTAGTGCGAATCTGCTGTGGTAGAGAACAAACAAGAATTCAACGGAGGAAGGAATTAGGTAAAGCTCTCTAGGTGCATTGTGAAAATCACCCTATTGAATCACAAGGCAAACCATAACTTTTGAATCCTGGAGGCCAAAGGAAATGTGGCAGATCAAAGAACATACTGCACCGAGCATTGGAGATAGACATGAAAGAACTGGAAAGGAAGGCCAATGAAAGAGTAGGTAGAAGAATGTTGGTTGACGGCCTATGCTCCAGAGGAAGTACCAAGCGTATGCAAGTAGGCGTAGCTAATTGGAAAATATGTTCATCGACAGCAAAACATAGATGGAATGTGGTACACAATAGATATAAGCACAGCTTTTAAAACGCATAGAAATAGTTAAAGACTAATTCTCAGGTCTACAGAAAGTTTATCCATTTACAAAAACAAACCCTATTCAGTTATGCAGAAACAATTTGTTGTAATCTTAAATTTGACCTGATAAACTTTAGTGCATATTACGGTTTAAGGCGTTGTGATAGTTTAGTGTCCTCATCATATCACAGTAATTTTTTATCTCACTTTTGTTTATAACTAACACTATGTTTATTTGAACTTTTATTTTAATGACCATCATTAGTTTTTGCACATATACGTGTCAAAAATTAACAATCATAAAAGTGGCCAGGTTTAAAACAATGATACTAATAATTATAGCGCATAAATTTAAGATTGCTGAAGAACTAACTGAACACCTTAATTCCAAGTTTTTGGATTAAGTTTAAAAGAGGGTTAAGCAGATATATTTCCGACAGTGAATTTAATGAAGAATATCTTGAAGTGTTAGCACAGGGTTTAAAATACTGCGATACACGCAGCCTCACAAGTCATACAGGGAAAGAAATCCCATTCGAAAGCTTGAACCGTCATTCATCCGATCCAGTCCCGACATCCAAACAAAAACCTGAATGTTCCAGAATAAATGTACTTACTCAATCTGTTTAACAAGGCATTCAATGATATAGTTATTCCATTTCTTAAATGTGGAATCAAACGAATATCGGGTGAAAAACCATAAAGGCACATCTATCAGAAAAACACATGGGCTGGAGTTTATCAAAACTCCAACAGCTTCTGTCCAATCAAGAACAAAACGGGGGTTGTACATACGATTTCTTACCACTCTCAAGAACTTTTCTCGAAGATGAAATCCTTTTCACTACAACCTGTCTACATGAAAATGCATACACACTGAAATTAATTGAGAAGTATTCCAGACCCAACTCACACGTCAAATATGATAAAGTGGGAAAGAAAACCGAATACGTTTATCAACACTTCGATGGCGATCAAATTACTGTAACTATTCACCAAATTGTTGAAGATTGATATCCGTTGACACGACGTCGGAATCTGTTTGAAACAACCTGATTGCTCAAACTGACAGAAACAGACAATTCCTCTTCTCTCAGGACCTCCAGGTTCATTTATCATTTTGCATGTACGTTCCGAACACATTTGTTAGAGGGACTGAGAGAAGAGTACACGTTCGTGAATACGAGCAAATTTAAAGGAATTAAGGACTGAGTGGTTCAAGAACTCTAAATGGTGCAATAACTCGTCATTTAATTAATACCGGACACGTCCTTGACAACCCAGAATCCTTGAAAATCCTTAACAGATAAAAAAAGTAGCATCTCTTTACTTTGCCGAAGCAGTAGCAATTAAGAAACCTAAATGTGACGTATGCCCATGAAGAGTAGTACTCAACTTATTATCGTCTTGATTGGAATTTTTAACGTCCATAAAATGAATCACTTACAATTTATTCTACCTAAAGATTATGCTCATGAGCTTATAGTTTGTAAAATCAGCTAAGCTTATATTCTTATTTCCCCTAGCAATTACACTTTAGTCTATGTCATTCATTTTCAAATATAATATCTGTATACAAAATTAGTTTCGCTTCATGATAATATGCAAAAGACAAATAAAATAACAAAAAAATTCTTAAAGTTATTTTCTTACAGCAATCCACTTCATCCTCACTACCTCGACAATCACGACTTCCATCACACCAGTATGCAAAGGGTATGTATTGATATGGCTCGGTACCACATCTGAAATGAGTAGCACCACACTCTTTATCTGGTACACGTGTATCTGAAAGTGAAATGAAACATGTATATCAAATTGTTGTTTAAGCATATTTACAATTAGTCCACTAATAATTAATTTCCTAATTGAATATGTAAGAGGTATGGTAACCATTAGTTTTATGTCCATACTTGATCAGCATACACGTCAATTAGAGTCGATTTCACAAACTGATGTTCAGATAAAAAATTCATGTCATTCTTTCCTCTTCTGTTTTGCAGTTTGGGATTCAAGGTAGCCTATCTGGACGCTGGTTTATTGTTTCGTTCAAGTTTATCGACTAAGGTGAACCCGTAATAGCTTCAAGTGTACCAAGTAACGAATATAACATAAACAGAATATATAGATTGAGATATATGAAACAAGAAACATTGAATCCAGTGAACAGTTCTCTTTTTTGGTGAATTCATTTTCAAAACTGTATAATCGCATATATATATATATATATATATATATATATATATATATATATACTTTTTCCAATACCTTTAACTAATTTCTCTCACTACTATCATGTTTAGCAAAATTGTTCTATTATCTTCATCATTAGTAATTATTATCGTATTGGAAAAAATATATGTTTGCAATTATACAATTTTGAAAATGAATTCGCCAAAAAAGAGAACTGTTCAATGAATCAATGTTTCTTATTTGATATATCTCTAAAAAAAATTACAAATTAAGGCTAATTTGCTGAAAACTAAGGATACTTTAAAATCCAATTTAATTATCGTCAGTGTGTCATTGTGAAATAGGCTAAAGTTGTTCAGTGAATCCTATTCGATTCAATATATTCAGAGTTTCATTCATTGAACAGGTACTTACCATTTAAACAATTTTGTTCATCAAATCGATTCCCACAATCATCTTCACCATCACACCTCCAGTGTAGTTCATATGTTTCTTTCTTAGGCGGTATACCATTCACAGCTTCACATGGTTTAGTTATTGGGTCACAGTAAACTATGGTTATGAGAAAAAAAATTTTTTCTTAGCTCTATTCTATTTAAAATAATAAAGAAAAATTAATTTCCACCATAGACGGGATGATTGATATTTATGGTCAGCGTTAACTTCAAGGTTGCATATCATAAAATGATACCATTCTTTCGACGGAAAGTCAACTTAAACAGATATAAGTTTTGTCACAAATAGTCCTCAGATAAACATGAAGAGGAATTCGGAGAAAGATGTAAATCAGCCTTGAGGAAGACTAGCATTCAAACATAGCAAGTACTTGTGTCTGTTGATTATGTCAACTCAAGAGGTCTCATATCTTCAAGAAGTTGTCGGTGAAAAAGTATCTGTTTACTTTCTGTTAACATCATAAACTAATGATATTTAAGTAAGATCGAAAACTATCTGTCATCACTCTTCATCTGGTTGTATCCAGAATTGGTATACTGGTGGCTTGTATATTCTGTTTATTCCTTCCTATCCTACTAAATGATTGCTGGTATATTTTCTCAACTTCATGTATTTTCAGACAATCTACTGTATTTACAATGATCTTCAAAAGACTGAAATGCAAATTTGAAACTGTCATTAGGTGAGTAAAATTAGAACTTATGAGAGTATTTTTTTACTAAGTATCTCGTAGTTTAAACTGTTGACAGCAGAAATTCCGTAAATAAATATTTATGACATAATAATGCAGAATATGAAAAATATACCACAATTTTCTGGTTTCTCATCAAATCCATCATCACAATCAGGTTTTCCATCACAAAATTGGCCAACAAATATACACTGCCCACTGGGGCATCGTCTTTGACCTGGTTGACAGCCAAGTTCAATGAAGATTGTTGATGTTTTTCTATCACCACTAGGAGATAGACATCTGAAACCGAAAAAGAAATCAATAGATAATTAAGAATAATCTACTTTTGCATTGTATTGTGATAATGACTTAGATTTTACTTGAGTTGCCCAGTGTCAAGACTAGCATTTAGAATATATGTTTTGTTCATAGGTAAACATTGAATTCCATACAACTAAGTAAACGCTATTTCAAATCATTTCGAGGACAGATTTAATCAATGAAACATAAACAAGATATTCATTTATTATTCCTTAGCCATGTCTGCTAAATCACTTATTGAATCTGGTAAGTTGAAATATTGGAGGAATTAAAGATGTAAGCTGACATGCCAATAAGAAAACTCTTAGTTTATAACAGACTGTGTTAAATGTTTGCATTGCGATTACATTCATTTCTTGCAATGATCTAAACGTTGAATATCTCAACTATAAATCTACTTAGAATCCTTTATTATTCTCTCTTTTGTCGTCCTCGTTAAGTACACCACTTAGGAAATGACATGTACAGACGAGAGAAACAAAAAAATGAACGTGTCGGACACCAGAGACCAAATGAACCGATTTTTATTTATTTACACGATTACGTGAGTCCATTTTTCTAAATATCTTTATCAAACATATTTCACTCCACTCTTTGAAAATTGACATTACCATTCTCTTACTAAAAGAGCTGTTAATGATCTATCAATTTCTCAATCAAGTAAAACGATATGTTTACAATGAATGATCAATTTTCAATTTGTAAATTTGTATGAACATGCTATGTCAAATGTCAATGTGAAAGGCAATATTAATGAACGTAATATTAAATAATTGTGAAATAGGTATCTGGTTACTTTTCATTTTATTATTTAAAGAAGCAGTTAGTCATTGAATTCTTTTCTCTTGGTTTGGTTGATTTACGCATTTTTACACAAAGCAATCGTCTATTTTACCTGGGTTGTTTTATTATTTACAATAAGTCTACAACGGGCAGAAATGATATGATTAAAATAGGCATGAGAATATTGTTAGTAGATTTAAACTTACTCAATAATGACCTGTCCTTCTCTAGCATCAAGGCCTCCAGGAACTTCTATAACGACACGTTCAGTTGATGGTCTAGAAACAACAAATCTTCGGTCACTTGTGATTGGTCTTCCATCAGGAAATTGTAGAACTGGAGAAGCACCTGGTGTATCCGTCACACATTCCAAACGAAATGCTCGACCAGGCTGAATACGTAATTCACCAGGAGTAAAGTGTACTCGTACATCGACGGTCAATTCAGCTAACAACAGAGTTAAAAAGCAATCATTAGTAATTATTTATACATGGAAAATATTTTAGTCATGCCAACTACATTGCTAATTAACAGTTAACATTATCCAACTCACATTTAATCAATACAAAGTTTGAGAAGTACATATGATTACTGACATCCATATCACAGTCTCTGTTTATCTAATAATTTCAAGTTGTTTTAATTTCGTGGTTTAGATTGATCGAATTCAAAGAGAATATTCATTACTACAGTACTTTCTTGTCTTTCAGTGGTCCGAGATCTGAATTTAATTAAGACAATTTTTGTATGTCAGCCCTAGGCGAACTGAGTTTGTGCAACAGCGGTAATTGAAGGCCTATTAAGGTTTGAGAAGGATGAATTTATTTCATACGCTATAACAGATAACAGGTATTACATTATCTCGGTCTCTCAGAAAATCGCGAACTGAACATCAGTGGCTTATTTCTAAAACACATACAAAAATAATCCCATAAAGAAAAGAGCATGATTACCATTGTCTAGATACGCCTCAGTTCTTAGTCATTAGGATCAACCAAACCTAAGACCTTGAATAATGTTCATAACTGAAAAGTAGAATGAAATTTTCATTCTTCCAGTAGACAGAGCAACTTACCGCAATATCTTGAATCTTCATCTGATCTATCAGGACAATCATATTTTCCATCACAAAATACTGCTCTGGGTAAGCATTCACCAGATCTACACTTTACTTGCCCAGGTGGACATTCTCCTATGATTTCTACGTCAACTTCTTTAACAATATTGATAGACACAATACACCTAAGAAAGTTGAATATTAGGTAAAAAGATCATTTAAGATTTATTGTAACAATAAAGATTTCATTAGCTTTTGTATTCAAAATATCAATCAAAGTTTCAATAATGAAACAATCACTTTAAAACTAATATTTTCCAGTATCATAAAAGTAACCTTTTTTTTTTGTTACCACATTACACCTTTGTATATTCATTTAACTGAATTGATTGTTGAGAATAATCACTTTACTTGCAAAGAAATATGTTATTTTACATTTACAGCGCTCGTATGAAAATATGTTGCGTTAGTTTGTTGAAGGTAAAATTTCACGAATGAACTAATTTTTTATTTGACAAAGATTTAACATTTACCATAATATGTGAAATAAAAAGAATCACAGACAATCAGTATGATGGTACAGTCGCTGTGTGGCGTTAATTATCTATCGCTGATTAATAGTAAATGGTAAGATAAACGATTCAGTTAATCGGAAACAGGTTTTGTATTAAAACAGTATTTATTTTGCATTTCGCTTACATGGAGTGAAAAATGACACTATTCTTATGCAAGTTAGGTATTACCAAGCGTATGCAAGTAGGCGTAGCTAATTGGAAAATATGTTCATCGACAGCAAAACATAGATGGAATGTGGTACACAATAGATATAAGCACAGCTTTTAAAACGCATAGAAATAGTTAAAGACTAATTCTCAGGTCTACAGAAAGTTTATCCATTTACAAAAACAAACCCTATTCAGTTATGCAGAAACAATTTGTTGTAATCTTAAATTTGACCTGATAAACTTTAGTGCATATTACGGTTTAAGGCGTTGTGATAGTTTAGTGTCCTCATCATATCACAGTAATTTTTTATCTCACTTTTGTTTATAACTAACACTATGTTTATTTGAACTTTTATTTTAATGACCATCATTAGTTTTTGCACATATACGTGTCAAAAATTAACAATCATAAAAGTGGCCAGGTTTAAAACAATGATACTAATAATTATAGCGCATAAATTTAAGATTGCTGAAGAACTAACTGCTGAAAACAATATTTATTTTCATTTCGCTTACATGGAGTGAAAAATAACACTATTTTTATGCAATTTAGGTATAATCATTCTAGTAAATATTTGAAAGTAGTGTACAGTCTCAATGAAGCTTTATTTGCATATATCAGGGATTTTATTCACTAAATGAAAAGACAGTGTAACTCTTCTGTTTGTTATAATTTAAGATGATGTGTAGTGATATTTGATTTTTCTCACCAAATACAGATTATACAAAAACACTGTCTGTAAAAGTCTTTAATAACTATCATGTTTACAGGACAACACGAAAGTAAACACAGTCATAACACACATCATAATTTCTGTAAATACTACTGATTTTCTGGTCAAACATTTTATGATTGACAATAAGATTTATTCAATTGCACCTAACGGCTAAAAGCAATACTGTCTGGTACAATTTTTTGTTAGCTAGTGGTCTAGTTTCAGTCAATCTACACAATTCCACTAACTTACTGAAAACTTCTACATTTTGATTTGTATAAACCTATTTTTATACTTATTGGTAGAGTTTAGAAAAAAAACAAACAAACTATATTTTCTTTCTGCTGATAGCTGGGAATTTACACTTTTGGGGCAGAGTTTTGGAGGTTTGTGTTTTTAAACATTTGAACTCATCAACCAATCATTGTTAGACCACCATTAGAAACCTGGAAGCACTAGACGGCCGTTTCGTCCTAGTATGGGACTCATCAGCAGTGCGCAGGAGTCGTGGACGCGCACTGCTGATGAGTCCCATACTAGGACGAAACGGCCGTCTAGTGCTTCCAGGTTTCTAATGGTGGTCTAACAATGATTGGTTGATGATTTCAAATTTAGACTTTGTTGACTTTTTAAAAATGAAAGATGTTTTATGTTAAAAAAAAACAAATAACAATAAACAGAATGGATCGGTTTAATTCTTACTTAAATCTGTGAGCACCAATATCTGGTAAACCAGTTGGTGCTGTCACTACAATAGTTTGAAGATTTGGACGATTAACAACAAAACGATTGTCTCTTTCTACTGAACGTTCGTCAAAAGTTACTTGAGGCGATACACCCGGAATCGATGTTGAACATTCAAATTGAAAACGTTTATATGGGACCACACGAATTGAACTTGGTGTTACTCTGATGTTGACAACTAGAATAAAAAAAAGTGATACAAAATCTTTAAAGAAAGCTACGATCACCAGTTCCCAGATGTTTTAAAATTCAATGTGTGTTAGTTATTTCCATAACTAATTTTAGTGATGTCATAACTAACCAATCAAATTGTGGTTTAAGTGCCCATCATGTGATCTGATCTGACATGTCTGTAAACTTTCTTTGTTGTGAATGACCTACTAATTGAAGGGCATTATTATCTTATAATATTGATATGACTCATAATTTTATTCATTTCCATATGACACGCTATATCGGCCAGTATGTTTGCTTGTTTCACTTGATAACTGTAATTTCCTTATTTATTGTACTAATCTAATTGTTTTTTATGTTTAGAAACAGATAAAGTTTAAAGTAAAATTGGTCTTGTTCTGACTATAGCTTTCCCATAGACTCTGTGCTCGCCCATATTGCGTTTACAATTCTAGAAGTACATCTGTCGGACAAAATTAAATCCTACAATGTGGTAGATTTATCATAGGCCAGATTACTAGTAAAAAATTACTTTAATAATATACCTGACTTACGAAGTGAAGACTTATGTCAGAACTCTGTAGCACTTAATAGACTACATAATAACTGATAGACAAATACCTAAAATGTTAAACATGTACACAATTCTGACTGAACAACCTATGAATGAAAAGATTTCTATTGTGAATATATGTATAAAAACTGTAAGAATGAAAGAAGTGGATGAAAAATGCGGAATTTCTTATATAAACGAAAGACATTTGACGATGGAACTCTGTAGATTGAGACTAAAAAAATTGTTAAACATTGGTAACCATCTGCTTACATATTGAATCATAGGACGTCCCCTCATGTATCCACATTCAGTTATTAGGACAAAATCATTTATTCTTAATAACTTCATTTTCATCAGTAAAGGTTTATGAGCGTTTATAAATACTTAAGAATCAAGAGCTTGACAAACAGTTCATTGAACGAAGAGTGTGTTTGACTTTAGCGTTAGAGTTTTTAAGGCCTCAATGTTAGTCTGCAATAAACTTCAGTGTAGACTGTAGTGCCTCCACATAAACTTGAGTTCGTCCATATTTAATTTGATGAAGCCTTTTTGATTAACTTATGTAACCAAGCTATTGGTATCGCAATAACTCATATGTACCATTGGAATTTTTTATTGTCTGGTTTGTATGAGCTTGTACGAGTGAGCATTGCTTACGGCCACGCGCTTACTCATCCTTTTCGCTTTAATATTAATCTTCAATATCACAATGACTCAGACATTTTGCTATGTATATATGTACACTTTATTAATTCATTCGCCAATTTGTCATTTCGTGCTTGTGGTCTGCTGGTCCATTTGTGGTGTGCCAAAATAAACTTATTCAACACTTCGAGTTCACCTTCTGATTTATAGACCATCAGACGCTATTTAGTAACGATAGTCTGGACGAGCTAATCAAGAAGCTTAAGAACACGTCGAAATCGGCCACCACAAGACAATTGGTAGGTAATCAAGTTGTATGAATTTGTTGGAGATTCTTCTTAATCGAAACGTGATTCTCATCTCATTTAGAGAGAAAAGATAATTCATCGATGCTACTCGATGTGGATCTCTCTAAACAATAAAGTGACTAAAAACAGAACAATCAGTTATTCAGATTCCAACTGTGCATTAGCCTAATAAAAATGGACCAGAAATATTGATTCCGAAATTCCAAACATTTTGATAAAGATTCAAAAAGACAATTTGTTTCCACTTTATGGTTTTGATAGAAAAGAAAACAAATTGGTGATGAAGTTTCTGAAATTAGAAAAGGACGATTAAAATGAATATGAAGACAACAGTTTTTGCTACTGAATGATGGTTGTGTTATATTATTTAACCAACTTTTTAATATTCAATAATTTAGTCTAAATCCTGAAGTACTACGAAGATCATTTCCAGGTGAGAAAACACGTACGATCTTGAAATTATTTTATTCTACTAAACAGATATTACTCAAAAGTAGTGAGCTATGTAATTTGCAATTACGTATCCAATATTCCAATTCTTTTAAGGTTTAATGTCAAAACCGAATGGTTCTTTTACATTTGGTCCTCTTAAATTTTATTCAACCAGTGTCGCTATTTGTTTAGTGATTTCTAACTAATTTGCCTTTGATTTTCATAGACGAAAATCGGACCAACTCAACTCACCCATAATGGAAAATTTGAACACTAAATGCATAATGTCATAAAATTATGTTTAAAAGGGTTAATTCATAGTAACTGATAGATACATATGAATTCTTTGTTATGAAATGTAATTAACCATGTTCAAAGAGGATTAAAGCTTAGTCAAAAAATAATATAATATAAGAATTTGCTTACCACAGTATCGTTCGCTTTCATCTGATTCATCTGAACAGTCAGGTTTGCCATCACAAAATACATCAAACGGTAAACAGCGTCCGTCCATACATTGAAATTGTCCACTTGGACAAGGTCTTTCAATTTCTATTACAGCACTTCTATTTTCTAGTCCAGGGAATATACAACTACAATTAAAGAATTTTTTTTAATAAATGAATATATAAGTTAATTAAAAAATAATTAAAGGATATGGATAGCTGCTATCAGTAGAATGCGGTATGCGAGTTTGGTCCCATTTAAGACTCATCAGCTAGACGTACCTGCCTACCAGAGTTGATGTTCACCCTGAAACTGGAACACAGTCCTAACCGCATCTAACACCATCACGTTATCCATCTAGCTACTTGTTTCATATACCCACTCACTTGTACAGTGTGGATTGCCTCGATATCGCGATTAAGTCACAGACATCATGAGAAGAGATGGATGAAGGCGCATCCTGGATTCCTTTAGTAATCATCATCAATCTTTGTTCATAAAGCTGCCAAAACATACTGATCATTTACAGTCCTTACTATCAACGGGAAGATTCAAATAACCAGTACAAATGAAGTTATCGTGAAAATTTTGTAAAAATTCAATTGATTGAGGGCAACTTTGTGACTATAATTTGACATATTTCGTTGCAATATGAATTTTAACTACTGACATTGATAGAGGAACTATAATTTACAGTATGAGGATTGTAAAGAACATTGAATTGACAATTGAAATCGTGAGTCTATCCATGCTATACCGCCATTAAAATCTGGAGTCATTGAATTGTGGCTTTCTCCTAGCATGAAACTCCCATCTGCGACCTCACACGTTGGAATCGTACCCAGGATTACGCTAGGACGACACGTCCTACTAATACTTCCAGGTTTCCAATGACGGTCTACCGTTGATCTGTTCATGACTTCAATGAAACTAGAACTTACTTAGCAATAGGTGGCTGATAAAGTACATGCAAATGATAATGAGAAAAAATTGCATATCGTTTACTTTATTCAGTGACTTCTCAAGTAACAGAGATCGATTAAACTTATGTTTAAACAGTTATTAAGTACTCATGTTTTAAATATTCATCCAAAAACTTTTCAATAGGGAACTTACTAGATGTGAAATGGATGATCTCTATCTGTCAAGCCATATAATGCATTTATTCGAAGACGATTTGATGAAGGATATTCCACACTAAAACGAGGATCTTGACTCACAAGCGAACCACTGGGTAATCGAGCCTCAGGTTTTATGCCAGGAACATGAGAAATACACTCAAATTCAAAACGTTCATACGGTTTGACATAAATAACGCTTGGTTTGACTTCTACTTGTGTGATTCCTCCTATTTTATTAGTAAAAAAAATGTTCACAAAGTTTAATAAGGGTGAAAATGAATCTACAATAATAAAATATTTGAAATATTTTTCTTGAAACTTTTAAAATTTACGATGCAGTCCGTCTCTACAAAATAAAAAAACTTGATATAATTGAATGACGAATATCACTTCATAATTAGAAAAAGTTTTCTAAACATACATAATAATAATAATATTATAACTAGTTATAGATCTTCATCTCTTTATATTTTTAGAATTTCACTTTATTGATTATTGAGAAAAGAAATTTATCTATGTATAAGTTGATTATACCTTAGACTTTGAGTAACACCGGTTAATAAAATGAAATCACTGCATTGACCTATGTCACAGATCATAAATAGAAAACTAGATTGTAAGCAACAACAGCAACCAATCAAGATTGAACAGAACAAGCTACAAGTCAAATTTGGACGAATTCGAATACTTCACTTTTATCTGAAGTTTGTGCTGATGATGTTGTTGTTCAGAAGAATAATAAAAGCTACACATCCAGCTCAGAGAACGAAACACCATCACAGATATTAAATAGGAAATGGATTGTAAACTCTTATCATAGCAACTGTATGTTAAATATCAGCCATGGCAATAATAATATTCGAAGGTTTTGTTTGTTTGGCCGGAAGTTGAAATATTTTATATGACTTTGCTAACTTTTTAAAAAGCATTCTATCTGTATGGATGTCGTAAATATAATTATCTAGTGGTAATAACTGAATGTCTAGTAGTTGTATGTTGGAGAAAATTACCTTATACCGATTAGACCAAAACAGGCAACAACTACATATATATATATATATATATATATATATATATATATATATATATATACAAGTTTGAGACCGAGCACATCAGCACATTTAGGAAAAATTATACATTAAGGATTTTAGAACAGTAATATGGGAAATATTATAAGGTAATTATTGCTTATTTGTACTTACTGCAGTGTGGAGGTCGCTCATCTGAACCATCCGGACAATCAACTCGACCATTACAAAAATCACTTTCTGGACGACATGTTCCATCTTTACACATGTATTCACCATGAGGACATCGTCGTCGAACAAAAACATTTATCTCTTCTTCCGGTCCACCAGGGAATGTACAACTGTAAGATAATTAAAAATCAGTGCACTCAACATCCTACTTTATTATCTTGTCAATGATCTGTCAATAATGTATCATTCCTCATTCAATAAAATGTAAAATATTTCAAAATTTTCCAATTTTATAACAAGCATCATAGTAAAGCAGTTTCGAATTCTGATCTAGTCTATATCCTTGATTGTTTCACCAAACTAAGCCAAAATTTGAGCTTCAGAATCAGTCTGATTGTAATATTAGAGAGGTTTCTTTGAAATCTGACGTGCTCAGTTAAAATAGTAAAATCGATATTCAAAAAAGTATTCATTAAATCAAGCCTAAGAAATCACAGGCATTACCAATTAATTGAGTTATGTGCTGTGTTACGTATGCCCAACCACCGACTGCCACGACGAGCTATGTTTTGTGGTGTAGGAGTAGGTTGGAAGAAAGTTAGGGGCGGCCAAACCAAAACATGGCAGAAATCCATGAAGTCATTGACTAGTGGACTGAGTCATGTTGGTAGATGTAGGCTACCTGGTTGGGGTCTGAGAGACTATAGTCACCAATCGTTAGAGACCCTGAACAACATGGCTCAAAATCGTTTGCAATGGCGCAGGTGCATCCACTCTTTGTGTGATTTTTAATTCTAGCCTTCTGAATTCCTCATAATCTCTACCTTTCTCCTTCTAAATTTATCTCACTGAATTATACTTTTTGAATCATATATTCGTTCCCTAATCTTCTGCATTAATGCTAATACGTCCTCTATCGCCATTACTCTTGTATTTGAAACGACAGTTGCGTCTCTGTGCTGATGTGGTATGGCAACCTGAACTGATGTACTTATGTAGGAAGTTCTGCGTTGTATCTTTCTGTCTGTCAGTAGTTGGATGTTCTCATAACATCGTCATCATCACTCTAAGCAACTTCAAGTTTCAGACTTTTCAATTACTACTGTTATCACTTTAATTATAAAGCTACTCCTCAAATAAATCATATTCAAAGGTTTAGCAGTTTTAAAAGTAGGTAGGCTTGTGAGTCAGAAATAAGAAACGAATCCTCCAATAGATTCATGTCTTTCATAAACGAATCAAAAATATATACGCATTTTAGAAAACTCCGTTTATGTCTGAAGATCGTCACAGAACAGAAGGGAATCGTTTATCCATGGAAATATCAAGTCAGAGTTATGTGTGAATCCATAACATATCCCATAAAATGTCTGTCCGATGTAAATCTAAAACGTGACATCTTTATTAAAACTGGATGAACCAAGCATTTGATGCTGAGAAAATTTAAAAGTTGAGACATAGTGTGTTTGAGTGACACTGTGTTGAACAAGTAATCTTGCAATTATTCCGATGAAATTGACGAGATAATTTTACAATATAATTATTGGTCAAAACTAACGTTTGTTTACACATAGTGCAATAATAAAAAGTTTAAAATAGTTGGCATTCGAAT